ATATAGTAAAAACTGAAAAAATCTTCTTTTAAAGAACCCAAAGAGCTAGAGCTAAGATATTTAGCATGAAACATGTTCTAATGGGTGTCTACCAAGTTTGTTGAAATAAAAGCCCTGGGGTCAAAATTGGCCCCGCCCCGGGGGGTCATTGATTTTCCCTATATGCATATAGTAAAAACTTAAAAAATCTTCTTTTAAAGAACTCAAAGAGCTATGGCTTAGATATTGAGCATCAAACATGTTCTAATGGGTGTCTTCCAAGTTTGTTCAAATAAAAGCCCTGGGGTCAAAATTGGCCCCGCCCCAGGGTGTCATTGATTTTCCCTATATGCATATAGTAAAAACTTAAAAAATCTTCTTTTAAAGAACCAAAAGAGTTAGAGCTAAGATATTTAGCATGAAACATGTTCTAATAAGTGTCTACCAAGTTTGTTCAAATAAAAGCCCTGGGGTCAAAATTGGCCCCGCCCCGGGGGGTCATTGATTTTCCCTATATGCATATAGTAAAAACTTAAAAAATCTTCTTTTAAAGAACTCAAAGAGCTATGGCTAAGATATTTAGCATCAAACATGTTCTAATAGGTCACGGTCTACCAAGTTTGTTCAAATAAAAGCCCTGGGGTCAAAATTGGCACCGCCCCGGGGGTCATTGATTTTCCTTATATGTGTATAGCAAAAACTTAAAAAATCTTCTTTGAAAAAACCCAAATAGCTAGAGTTAAGATATTTAGCATGAAACATCTTTTAGTGAGTGTCTACAAAGTTTGTTCAAATAAAAGACCTGGGGTCAAAATTGGCCCCGCCCTGGGGGTCATTGATTTTCTTTATATGTGTATAGCAAAAACTTAAAATCTTCTTTGAAAAAACCCAAATAACTAGAGTTTAGATATTAAGCATGAAACATCTTCTAGTAAGTGTCTACAAAGTTTGTTCAAATAAAAGCCCTGTGGTCAAAACTGGCCCGGCCCCAGGGGTTTCATTGTTTTTAACTATATGTGTATAGTAAAAACTTTAAAAAAAATCTTCTTTTAAAAAGCCCAATGAGCTAGAGCTTAGATGTTTAGCATGAAACATCTTCTTATGGGTGTCTACCAAGTTTGTGCAAATAAAAACCCTTTGGTTAAATTGGCCCTGCAACGTTGGGGGGGGGGGGGGTGGGGGTTGGGGGGGCCTATATACAGGTGAGCGACCTCAGGGCCATCATGGCCCTCTTGTTTTTCAAATCCCCCACATTTTTCAGTTCAGTGGGGGACAATCCCCCATAATTTTGAAATTCTAGATGCAACACTGCATGTCTAAGCCTGATCAGGCATTTTTACCTCCCTGTTCAATCTACTGTATTGATCCTTTTATTATTAGCTTTATTTATGTTTGGTTTGTATGAAGATAAACTGTACAGTAGGCAATGGTCAGTTTAAATTATTTGTAATATGAAGTATTGATAAATCTGTTGTCTATGATTATGATGAAATGTACATTAGGTATTGTTAGTGGGCGCGGCTGAAGTGTTATTAACTTAAAAAGCTCAATGAGTTAGGTCGGAGGTTCACAGGATTTGTTTGCACAGAGACAAAGATAATCTCTGGTTTGCACAAAAAAATGTAAATAAATTATGACAGTTATCGTGACATATGATATGTATTTGTATGCATTATGTAGTCCTGAGAGACAAACAAAATCACAGTGGTGTGACTGTGGAAATGGAAAGTCAATACTGTCAATACTAATGCAGAGATATTTTCTTTCAATTTTCAAAACAACTTGTAGCTTTCTGAAGGGGAAAATATAGCACAATACATTGCCACAGCCCACACCGCTAGCTCAACCCAAAGATACGATAACTAGCTGGGCTGGAATATTTTCATGACAGTTGCATGCTTAGTGTACTCCCTCATTAAAACATTTAATTGATGTCATCCAGTTGTTAATCTCCTGCCTGGGGGGCAGAATAGAGTTGTTAATTACCAAAAAGCATAGAGAAGTCAAGGAAATAACACTATTTTTTCAACCTCAGATTTTAAAGTTTTTATTAGTTTATGGGAGAAGATGCTAGCCATACAGAGTAAGCTCATTCTGTATTTGTAGTATATAATTATTACTATATTAGGCTGTGATAAACTTTAGGGGTATATCATACATAACATATCCCGGTGGGATTAAAAAATCCCGATATATATCAATCCTGATCCCAATTTCTGATAGTAGAGATTAAATTCGCCATAATATTATTCATCTCTCAATAAAAAAAAATGTCAATGTAAAAAATCAAACACAGCACCTGTATATAAATTGTAAACCACACTTCAGGGCAACAATGCTTATAATCGTGTCCCAAAATTTTTGGGAGACAGTTTTTGGGAGATATATTGTTTGTGCCTTTGCTGTCTGTCTGTGCGTCTATCCACATTCAGCTTGTCCAGCTTTCACAGAGGCCAAACTGCTGACTTGATTTCAAAGAAACTTCTCACTAGTGTACAGTACCATTCGTAGTTAAAATTGCATATAGCTGGCATGTTATGCTTTGCTGCACAAGAGGGCGAAATTTAGTAAAAGGGGGGAAATTTAGTACTTAATTTCGCATGTCTTAAATTTCACTTGTCCCTCAAGTCATAGCTATCATCTTTCCTATAGACCAGAGACACTTATACAAGCAAAATTTAACAATTTCGCCTCGATATTATCGGCTTAGTTTTCATATATTGTGTGTCGCATTGAAGGGTGATAATTATTGCATGAGAGACTAGCAAAATTCAATACATGCAAAATTTAGTCTAAATTTCGCTTATAAATTATCGCATGTTTAAATTTCGATAGTTTCTCATGCAATAATAAGTAGAACCATAACTTCATCTGTCTAATTACAGAGTTATTGCAATTTGTTACTTTTCCTTGTCCAGTGCATAACTTGAAAACTGGTCGTTATTCAATACAACTTCGGTATTCAATACAACTTCATACAATGGTCAAACACAATAAGAGGAAGTGCAGTGCACAAGAACCATAACTCTATCTAAAGTAATTACAGAGTTATTGCCCTTTGTAACTTTTCCATTGTTTTTGCTTGTCCGGAGCATAACTTGAAAACCACTGGTTGGAATTCAGTACAACTATATACAATGGTCAAGCACATTCAGAGGAAGTGCTGTGCATAAGAACCATAACTCCATTTTGACTAATTACAGAGTTTTTGCCCTTTGTTACTTTTCCTTGTCCAGAGCATAACTTGAAAACTACAGGTTGGAATTCAAAACAACTTCATAGTACAATGGTCAAACACAATAAGAGGAAGTGCAGTGCACAAGAACCATAACTCCATGTAAAGTAATTATAGAGTTACTGCCCTTTGTTACTTTTCTTTTGCATTTTCTTTGTCTGGAGCATAACTTTAAAACCACTAGTTGGAACTCAATATAACTTCATACAATGGCCAAGCACATTGAGAGAAAGAGCAGTTCTCAAGAATCATAACTCTATCTGGACTTATTATAGAGTAATTCAATAAAACTTCGTCAATGGTCAACCACAGTGAAAGGAAATGCAACATACAAGAACTACAACTATCTTTAATTGTCGACAACCATAACTCTATTCAAATTCTTTTACAAGGTATTCTGTTACTAGTAACTTCCTCATTTCCGAAGCGAGGTCTTCCTCCACCAGTAAAGCTGGAACGTCCCCAAATGACCTATACTGTGTCGGTGTGACGTAAAACCCAATCAAACAAACAAACATTTCCGAAGCAGTCTTGCAGGGGTATTAATCACATTAAGTGATAGTTCTAGTTTGTCTTTATGAGATTCTTATTTGTAATGAAACTTTTTATATGTTTTAAGTGTAATCTGGTGAAACTGTTATTATCATTTACATTGGATATTTTTTTGATAAATGTAAATTACCATATGTAGTTCATCTTAATCTTACTTATACTTGTAATTGGATTTTTTTTTATTGATAGTTGGTAATTGTTTTTTTTGTAATTAAATGTATTCAAAGTGAACAAAGAAATTGCCTAGGGTGAAAAAGTTCAAATACCTCCCAAAGCATGTTCAGAAATTACAACTTTATTTATTTTATGTTTGCAAATAATATTATGTATAATTATTTCCAATCACAGATGTACAGGTTAAGAATACAGATAAGAGATTGGATTTTAATTTGTTTTTATTGAGAAGGTTCAGATATAGGTCACATATTGTTGAAATGATATTTTGTCATGACTATATGCATACATACATGTTTATAATACATGCTTGACTACATATAACATCAACTATGTTATCTATACATGTCAGCTTCTGCAAATTTATAAGCTAACTTTTATCATAATCAAAGAATGGATTTATTTTAATATTGTATATTATTACAATGAGTATTGACAGATTTAAAACCAGTGTTTGCTTTATAAGGTAATCATTTATATACTGTGCCATATAATCATTCAAAACATTGATATATAGATTTAACATGTGGACTGTATGATCTTGGTAGTAAGATGTAGAAATTGTCATGACTAGAAATGGTACACTCTATATACATTGACTTTACTGTGTAAAAAATGTACTTTGTTTTAGTGGAAATCAGGTATTAGTTAATTAAGAATTAAGAATTTATTATGTGGAGATATTGTATATTTGAAGTCTGGTTTACCATTTTATAGGGATGTAGTAAATACCTGAATTTTTAAATTAATTCTGCCTTAATTGACATAAAAAATAAACCACACACTGTATAAATAATTATGTGCAGAGTTTAATAATATTCTTTCCCAGGTTCTGGTTAGTTGCTCTAAGACACTGTTACAGTTATCCATGTCAAACTTCATCTTGGTATACATGAAAGGATGCCATTAAGCCATTTCAAAAAGCCTAATCAGTTTTGCAATATATGCCCCTTATTTGACTTAATTTTTTTGCTGATGTTATTTTGTCGAAGTTAAAGGAACTCCACTGAGGTCAGGAAGCATAAAAAACCCATAAAATTTCAATATATTTATTTTTCAGATGTTGGCACAATGAGATGACAAAGAGGTCACATGATGATATGGTAAGAAATGATAAGTTTAATGTATCCCTGAAGTTTGCTTTATAATGATGACCATTAAAATAAGCTGACACATGTCTGAAATATCAAGCACTTGAAATAATTTGCATATGAAAATTAAATCCAAATAGTAACATTAAATAGAAATTTATTACATGTGGAAATTTTTTTTTAAACTCGTATATCATCATGTAAACAGTTTTGTATTCACAAGATGAAAAACGTGTCATATTATTGAATGCCCATAATGGACAGCCATCAGTGCTAGTTTTGTTGCGAGCATGTTACTTCAACTTGACAGATCATTGACAGATTTTAGAACTTTAAGATGTAGAAGTTCACCATCAAGAGATGAGGTATCGTTCACATGAAGAAAGTCTCTATGTCCAAGGTCAAAGTCACACTTAGAGGAAAACACCCATCTACAGCTGAACTTTTGCATGCATTTAATGATTTAAATATAACTCAATACAAATATTCACTATCGTAAGCACTTACAAACTTGCTTGCATGATTTCAGTCGGCCATTTTCCCTAGCCATGTAAGATAACTCCCCGTTTCCCTGTCTAAAATTCCACCAAATTATTCCCCTTTCAAATGAACTCAAAGAAGGGACATTTTAAAAAGACTTTGTATTTATTTATTCGATTTTTTGTTCAGAAACGGACAATTTTTTCTTTACCTTTGTTTAATTTGCTTTCAATCTATATGTGGTTCCTATGGTAAACATATGAGTTTTGATGGTAAACAAATGAATTTTCTGAACCGAAAGTAATCTAACACACAGCGTTGCTGTCATCACAAGTAAACAATACATTAAATCGGTAAGAATATTGAGATATTTGTTTGACTATCAGTTTCAAATGGAAAATATTAATATGGAAAACAGCTATGTGTAGTTTATGTGTATTGTTTTAATATGTTTGTCTGATATTTTAGTTGTAAAAGCCATGTACACTTATATAGTGTCGCTTCATAGCAACCGAGTTTAAAACGTGAGCGGTAACTGAACGAGATATGGCAAAGCGCATGCTTGCGCACTGACTTCCGCTCTATCGAAATACTGCATATATGTATAGCGAAAGTTCGTAAGTGGTAAGAGATCTGAGGTCTTTTTCTACCAGTAAAGCTGGAACTTCGCCATATGACCTATACAGTATCAGTGTGATGTAAAACCCAATCAAACAAACAAACAAACCATCATGAGACAGTGCTACATGCTTGAATTAGGTCAGTTAATACTTAATAGGTTGAAAGTCAAGGTCAGACGACAACATTCTCTGTGGCAAAGTCCATTTCATTGCAATTATTCCCTTTTGTGAGCTCAGATATGTGTTAATTTATTTTCAGTTTCACTTGTGTGTTTAACTATCCAGCACTAGAAGTAGTCAAACTTGCTTCCATCTTAATCTGTTAAACTTTTTAGCAAGCTTTTGTGATAGAAATTTGTCTGTCATCCCATGTTCTTCATTATCCTCAATTTCTGTATACAACATATATGTATACAACTGATTCTTACTGGCATTTGATATCTGGGGACACCGTGGCCTTCCTGATATCTATACTGCCCACAGTTATTGCCCACAGTTAGTGAAATCTTTTGTGATGGACATATTTTATGATAATGACACCATTTATGATATTTCCCCATTCAAGAAATAATTTTCTGCAACAAGAAGTAAATCAAATGATCAATTTCCTTGACAATGTGAAACATATTGTAATATAAACAAAACAAATCAAATGACTATCAGCCAAAATAACAAATTCTGTTTTGTTTTCAGAATAGTTTGAGAAATTGTCAGGAAATTACAAGTCTTCACTCAGCTGTAAGGAGTGGAAGTTTAAATGCTGTTAGAAACTTTATACAGACAGGTAGAATTTTAATGTTGTTAAGTACATAAGACATGCAAGAATTTTAATGCTGTTAGAAAGTTGATACAGACATGTTAGAATTTTAATGCTGATAGAAAGTTTATACAAACAGGTAAAAATTTTAATGCTGTTAGACAGTTTATACAGACAGAATTTTAATGCTGTTAGAAAGTTTTTACAGACAGGTAAGAATTTTAATGCTGTTAGAAAGTTTATACAGCCAGGTAAGAATTTTAATGCTGTTAGAAAGTTTATACAGACAGGTAAGAATGTTAATGCTGTTAGAAAGTTTATACAGCCAGGTAAAAATTTTATTGCTGTAAGAAAGTTTATACAGACAGGTAAGAATTTTAATGCTGTTAGAAAGTTTACAGACAGGTAAGAATTTTAACGCTGTTAGAAAGTTTATACAGACATGTAAGAATTTTAATGTTGTTAGAAATTTTACAGACAGGTAAGAATTTTAATGCTGTTAGAAAGTTTATACAGACAGGTAAAATTTTAATGCTGTTAGAAAGTATATACAGACAGGTAAAAAATTTAATGCTGTTAGAAAGTTTATACAGACATGCAAGAATTTTAATGCTGTTAGAAAGTTTATACAGACATGTTTAAGAATTTTAATGATGTTAGAAAGTTTATACAGACATGTAAAAACTTTAATGCTGTTAGAAAGTTTATACAGACAGGTAAGAATTTTAATGCTGTAAGAAAGTTTATACAGACAGGTAAAATTTTAATGCTGTTAGAAAGTATATACAGACAGGTAAAAAATTTAATGCTGTTAGAAAGTTTATACAGACATGCAAGAATTTTAATGCTGTTAGAAAGTTTATACAGACAGGTAAGAATTTTAATGCTGTAAGAAAGTTTATACAGACAGGTAAAATTTTAATGCTGTTAGAAAGTATATACAGACAGGTAAAATTTTTAATGCTGTTAGACAGTTTATACAGACATGTTTAAGAATTTAAATGCTGTAAGAAAGTTTATAGTACAGACATGTAAAAATTTTAATGCTGTAAGAAAGTTTATACAGACAGCCTCTGACAGGTAAGAAGTTTAATGTGTAAGAAAGTTTATACAGACAGGTAAAAAATTTAATGCTCTGAAAAAGTATATTAAAACAGGTAAGATTTTTAATGCTGTTAGAAAGTGTATCCAAACAGATAATAATTTTAATGCTTTTAGAAAGTGTAACTAAACAGGTAAGAATTTCAATGATGTCCAAAAGTATATACAGACATGTAAGAGTTTAAATGTCGTAGGAAAGTATATCCAAACAGGTAGGAATTTAATGTAGTCTGGAACTATATACAGACAGGTTAATCATAAGGGGCATTGATTTTCTCATGAGGTATGACCTAAATTGTGTTGGTGCATTGTTAAACCAAACAAAAACAAAATATAAGTATGGTGTTTATCCACTATCTGGATTATATGACATATAACTTCCATACATTATATGATAAACGTTTTATAACACTTGTTTTACAGGTGTGTCAGTTGACAGTTTAGATGATACAGGTGTAACACCACTACTACTGGCTGTGTTGACAAACCAACCAGAATGTGTAAAACTTCTCCTTACAACATGTGCAGATGTTAACTTTTCTACAAGGTTTGTCATTTAATGTTTTGAGACATTAGTAATAACAATTACCCCAGTGTGTATTCATTCTCATCCTGTTTCTATGTATAACTTTACTGTGTAGTTTATGTGATTGTACTGAATATTTTTGTTATTCAAACCTTCAATTATGAGTATTTCACTAACTTGCCATAGTTACATCAGTGTCTATTCTAGGATTCGAAAACCAGGGGGGATTTTTATAGAAAAGTTAGAATTTATTACATTTGTTGATCTTTTTCCTTCTTTGTCTATGTAAAATTTTCCCCCTGCCTCTGAAAATATAGGGGGGAATTCTAAAAAATATGGGTGAACCCCGCCCCCGCTCCATCCCCCCTCCTAGAATAGACACTGGTTACATGTCACCATGCATTCTTTTCTTGACTTAAATCACTTCATATTGAGCTTAAACAAAATTAAATCTCTTACAATCTTTTGTAATCCATATTATAAAGATTTCAACATTTCTTACCTGTTTATATTTTAACGGAAACACACTTTAAGTAATAGTATGACAGTATTTATGACTTTTTTTTATACTTGTGTGATTTATAAATGACTGCATAAGGTAATTGAAGAGATTAATGATGTTTTCTAGCCGTCCAGTTAGCTCAATAGGTAGAGCATTGGACTGTGATTTGGGTTACCCGGGTTCAATTCCCGGACAGTGGTCTTTGTGTGATTGATCATGAAATCCTTTCTACGGTCATTTGCACTTTACCTCTGCTCTGGCATGTACAGAATTTTCAGTTCCTTGCGAAAGTGAAGGTAACTAGTACTGGTAAACTGCCTGACAGAGCCAGTCTGGCTGAACTGTGCTCTGGTAAATTCAATGTGGCTTACTGTTGTGATCTGAAGTGAAAACTACCACTTGACTTGACTTGACAAAAGGCAGCATTTCATTATAAAGGAGATCTTTAAATTGACACAATGCATAATTTTAAAATGATATACATTTCTTTTAGGGAACATGGAACTGGCCTCCACATAGCTTGTAGTCATGGTAACTTGCAGATTGTCAATTATCTACTGCTTGCTGGGGCAGACAGTTCTCTATGTGGACCTGACAAACAAACATGCCTTCATCTAGCTGCAGCAGGTGGTCATCTTGATGTGCTGAAATCTCTAGTATACAATAAAACATCAGTGAATGTATCTGATCGTAATGGTATGTTTATATCTATCATAATATCATATGTCTGTGTTTTAGTAAATTTATCTTTTCTCTAATTTTGGATTTTATAATCATTACTCAGAAGTAATCTTCAGTTATTTAGTGTATTTTATACCGTGTATATTTTCCTAAGTTGATATTTTAGTAAGATTGACATTGTCAAGGTCATATGATGACTTTCAAGCTTTACTGTTGAGAGTCTCTCGTGAAGATTAATTAAACTTAGTATTAGATATTAAGCTGGACACGGTCTTAAATTTACCCGCTTATGCCAGAAATTTAAGTATCAATGTGACTTAAAATCCAAGTCTACGGAAATTAGTTTTTCAGGTTGGACCCTACACCTAGTTTAGTTCATGAACTCATTTTTTTGTTAGATTGAAATGTTCTTATATGCTTGTATTACTGTATTACTGTATGTTTAGGTGTAACACCACTACATTTATCTGTGATGAATGATCATGAAGAAGTTACACTGTTTCTCATTGACAATGGTGCTTTAGTCAATAAACAAGATGTGAAAGGAAATTTACCTCTACATTATGCTGTAAAACAGTCTAATATTGAGATTATTAAAACTTTAATTGCCCAAGGTAAGTTACTTACATTTTTATGCCCCCACAATGTGGGAGCATATAGCGTTGCACTTGTCCATCCGTCCGTACGTCCGTCCGTATGTCCGTCTGTCCGCACTACCGAAAAGGGATAGGGGGCCATCTAACTGTAAACAGAACAAAAGAGAACAATAGAGTTCATTCCGTAACAAAAGAGTAAGGGGCCGTTGGCCCTCTATTAAACAATAGAAAATAACAAAAGAAATGGCCCCTTATTCCATTTCGGCCGGACGTCCCGAAATCTTGTGAACGCAACTCCTCTGAAACCGGTTGGCAGATTTTGCTTAAACTTCCAGGGATGAACAACCTTAATGTGTAGATGGTGGTAAAGGAAGGAATTTTCGCTGCGACCAAATTTAACAGAATTATGGCCCTTTGTTGATTTTTTCACTATATACTACAGTCGGCATCGTACTTGCGTCCACCTTTATTAAGCGACTTTTCTATTAAGCGGCCACATAAAATCCCTCCCGATGATTTTTACTATATAAGTTAATTCCATTAAACGACGATTTTATATCGCGGCCAGCGGCCACTAAATGTCGGCCCAAATGTACAAAATTCAGTGTTTAAGTATCTATTAAACGGCCGTGACAAACAATCGTCCCTACGGACATTCTCACCTGTGTAATTAGCGAGTAGGTTTGAACAAACAAATATTTTTCATGGTCATTGATCTTAAAGTATCTATTAAACGGCCGTCAATTAGACCGTCACAAATAATTGTCGTTTAAAAACGAATTGAATAACAATTGCCATCGTTTTAAAATCGGAAAGAAAGAAACAGTTTTCCGATAGTAATATTTATTGTGACATATTTTGTCAGAGCAATAACGTATCACAACACCGCATTGGCACAGTTTTGTCATGTGCTCAGAGTGACCTCCCTTCAAAAAAAAAATCGTCGGAACGAGCGAAAAAATGACATACCCAATGATACCGGATAAATTGAATGAGGAAATCGTGCATGGAATTGAGTCTGAGTAAATAGCAAATGCCATCGTTTGCAGTCGAAATAAAATCGTGAAACGTAGTGGACTAAACATTACAGAACCGAGCCTTTCATTGCTGATGGTGTAGGTGCTCATCTGATGCTTTATAAAAAACATGTAGTACCCCATTAAATATGACACTTCGACAAAAAAAATAATAAAATAAAATAAAAATAATGATAAAACTTTAATTTTTTGAAATCAGGGTAGTGTGAAAACAAATTGCTGAAAAAATCAAGAAGTTTAAAACTCATTGCGATGATTTGAAAGTATGTTCAGCAGGAGATGTGTATGAACATATTAATAATATATGACAATATGCTTTGTTTCAAGGTCAAAATGACCTGTTAATAGTATTATGAGCGTAGATCACATTTGTACATAAATTTCTACTAAAAAAACCCAAACACATATTGATGACTTTTTTAAACGAAAGGCATAAATGTAATTATGAAACTGTAATACATATATATAATATTGTACAATTTTTGTTTTTATATTATATCTATGACTTGTAACATAAAAAAAGTCTCGAATTTTCCAGAATTCTATTGAGAGACCACTTTATTAAGAGGCCACTTTTTGGCAGACCCTTGAGTGGTCTCTTAATACAATGTCGACTGTATGTAGAAATTTTGTGAACGCAACTCCTCTTAAACCGGATGGCAGATTTTGCTTAAACTTCCTGAGATGAACAACCTTAATGTGTAGATGGTAGTAAAGGAAGGAATTTTTGCTGCGACCAAATTTAACAGAATTATGGCCCTTTGTTGATTTTTTCACTATATACCATATAGAAATTTTGTGAACGCAACTCCTCTTAACCGGATGGCAGATTTTGATTAAACTTCCAAGGATGAACAACCTTAATGTGTAGATGGTAGTGAAGGAAGGAATTTTTGCTGCGACCAAATTTAACAGAATTATGGCCCTTTGTTGATTTTTTCACTATATACCATATAGAAATTTTGTGAACGCAACTCCTCTTAAACTTGTTGGCAGATTTTGCTTAAACTTCCTGAGATGAAAACCTTAATGTGTAGATGATAGTAAAGGAAGGAATTTTTGCTGCGACCAAATTTTACAGAATTATGGCCCTTTGTTGATTTTTTCACTATATACCATATATATGTTGTCAGTGGGGGCATCCGTGTCCTTTGGACACAGTTCTAGTTTCCTTTTACAATTTAGTGTTATTTCTTTATTTGGTTGCCTAAATCTAACAGACAATTAACTGCTGCTTATTTTTATACCCGCAAAAACGAGGTTTGGGGGGTATATAGGAGTCACCCGGTGGTCGGTCGGTTGGTTGGTCGGTCGATCGGTCCAGACGTCCGTTGCATTTTCCTTGTCCGAAGCATAACTTGAAGACTAATGGTTGGAATTCAATATAACAACATACAATGGTCAAGCACATAGAGAGGAAGTGCAGTGCACATGAACCATAACTCTATCTTGACTAATTACAGAGTTATTGCCCTTTGTTACTTTTCCTTGTCCGGGGCATAACTTGAAAACTACTGGTTGGAATTCAAAACAACTTCATACAATTGTCAAACACAATAAGGGGAAGTGCAGTGCACAAGAACCATAACTCTATCTAAAGTAATTACAGAGTTATTGCCCTTTGTTACTTTTCCATTGCTTTCTTTTGTCCGGACCATAACTTGAAGACTTATGGTTGGAATTCAATATTACTACATACAATGGTCAAGCACATTGAGAGGAAGTGCAGTGCACAAGAACCATAACTCTATCTTGACTAATTACAGAGTTATTGCCCTTTGTTACTTTTCCTTGTACGGGGCATAACTTGAAAACTACTGGTTGGAATTCAAAACAACTTCATACAATTGTCAAACACAATAAGGGGAAGTGCAGTGCACAAGTACCATAACTCTATCTAAAGTAATTACAGAGTTATTGCCCGTTGCTACTTTTCCATTGCTTTCTTTTGTCCGGACCATAACTTGAAGACTAATTGTTGGAATTTTTATAACTTCATACAATGGTCAAGCACATTGAGAGGAAGTGCAGTGCACAAGAACCATAACTCTATCTTGACTTATTACAGAGTTACTGCCCTTTGTTACTTTTCCTTGTCCAGAGCTTGACTTGAAAACTACTGGTTGAAATTCAAAACAACTTCATACCATGGTCAAGCACAATAAGGGGAAGTGCAGTGCACAAAAACCATAACTCCATCTTGACTAATTACAGAGTAATTGCCCTTTGTTACTTTTCCAATGCTTTTTTTGTCCGGAGCATAACTTGAAGACTAATGGTTGTAATTCAATATAACTTCATACAATGGTCAAGCACATTGAGAGGAAGTGCAGTGCACAAGAACCATAACTCTATCTTGACTTATTACAGAGTTACTGCCCTTTGTTACTTTTCCTTGTCCAGAGCTTGACTTGAAAACTACTGGTTGAAATTCAAAACAACTTCATACAATGGTCAAGCACATTGAGAGGAAGTGCAGTGCACAAGACCATAATTCCATCTTGATTAATTACAGAGTTATTGCCCTTTGTTTCTTTTCCTTGTCCAGAGCATAACTTGAAAACTACTGTTTGGAATTTAATACAACTTCATACAGATGTCAAGGACATTAAAAGGAAGTGCAGTGCACAAGAGCCATAACTCCATTTTGACAAAATACAGGGTTACTGCCCTTTGATACTTTTCCTTGTCCGGAGCATAACTTAAAACATACTGGTTGGAATTGAAAACAACTTCATACAATGGTCAAGCACAATAAGAGGAAGTGCAGTGCTTAAGAACTATAACTCCATCTTCAGTATTTAATGAGTTATTGCCCTTTGTTATCCCCCGCCGCCTTTTCGGCGGGGGATAAAGTAATAGTCTCCGTCCGTCCGTCTGTCCGTCCGTCCCTCCTTCCGTCCGTCCGACATTTTTGTCCGGAGCATATCTCTAAATGTATTTCAGTTATCAACTTGAAACTTCATAGGTGGATAGACCTCATTGAGGAAGAGTGCAGTGCACAAGAATGATAACTTTACCCTGCATTATTTTTCAGTAATTGCCCTTTGTTATTTTCAGCCATCAGTATTCACATAGGTTTCAAATCTGTAATCACTATAGCCATCAGTTTTCATTACCAAAAGACCTTAAAATGGAGTTATTCTGCTCTACTACATATACATTCTTCCAATGAGCAAACACATTCGGCGGGGGATGGCCATGTTGACATGGCTCTTGTTCCTTTTCTTTGTCTTTCTGGATTTATTATAGAGTAATTCAATAAAACTTCGTCAATGGCCAACCACATTGAAAGGAAATGCAACATACAAGAACCTCAACTATTTTAATTGCTCACAACCATAACTCTATATTTCAATTCTTTTACAAGGTATTCTGTTACTAGTAAAATCCTCATTTCCGAAGCAGTCTTGTGGGGGTATTAATCACATTTAGTGATAGTTCTAGTTTTAATGACTGTTATAATATAAATTTGAAAGTTTTTCTTTATACTTTTTACCAGCATTACTGATTGTAAGTTAACAATATTACTTTGATCCTAAATTTACACTGTACCTTTGTCATAACTTTACCTACACCTTGATTCTAGCCGGAACCAAAAATATACATTACTTTTTATCTCAGATTCTAGATTGAGATTGTATATAAAACTCTACACTGTAGGTGTAATAACTAGTTTATAAAGTTTCACCTGAGGCAAAGTCATTTCTGACAAACAGTAATTAATGCCATTAAAAGATAGTGATCAGTTTTGAAATGTTATATAAAATAATTGACATTACTAGATAGATAACATGTTACAGGATGTGATAAAGATCGTAAGAATTATAATGAGGAGGCTCCAATCTGTACAGCAGTCAGGATAGGTCATGTGCAGACACTTCTACTTTTAGTCAAACTAGGTATCATCATATTTTATATATACTAATTTATCATTTCTCAAAAGCTTCTTTTGAATTTTTTGCTTGACTATTCGACTTGTTCTCTGTGTTAATCTAACATGATTGAAATAGGTCCTATAACTCTGAGTAACCTTTTTTTACAGAACTATTTCCTTTTTCATACTGTGAAAAAGTGTCAATTGCGCTATAAATCAGTGGTTTATCTTTGAAGCCCTTCCATAAATAAAACAGACTGTAAACACTTCAGCTTTAATCAAGTCCAACTGGTGTCATGTCTAAATAAGACAGCAGATAATAGAGAGTTTCACCTTAGAATGTCCCACAAGTTGAAAGTGCAAGCTTTTTAATGAATTTAAATTTAGGGAGTCTATTTAAAGATGTAGAATATAACTATGCATTTAGAATTTCATTCATGTTAGTTTGATTTCATAGGATTCAAGTTGTATGTCTGGTTTAAGTGTGAGTGTAAGCAGATTGAATTCCTGGTCAGGATTGTAAGGTGTTTGTAATCTATTTCTATTTACATTATATATTTTAAGGAACTGTTTCAATTTACATTGTATATTTTAAAGTGATAAAGTATATCAGACTGTTATGTTAAAATATTTTATATAAATTACAGGTTGTAGAACTGATATAAGACAAACAGATGGCAGCACTACTATACACACGCTCGTGTCTACATACAATTCTAAATATCCTACATATTTCCGTACAGTGCTAGAAATGTTATTATACGGCGGATGTGATATTAATTCAAGGGCATATAGTACACTTGAAACTCCATTATATCGCGCTATTAGTCTTACCAAATCTGAATGTGCAGAAGTTTTATTAGCATATGGTGCTGATCCAAACATATCTAGCCCTTTTGATATTACTGCATTACGTTTAGCATACATGAGACAGTTGTCACAGACTTGTGTTTTTATGTTGCACTGTGGGATGACTTGGAATCGGGAAAGTTGGATAAAAAGTTTACCTTCCATACATTCTTCGGAGCCTAATACAGTTCTAGAAAAATGCAAACACTGGAGGACACAGCCTAGTTCATTATTAAACATCTGTAGGATAGCCTTTCGTAAACACTATGGGAAAGATTTACACAGAATGCTTGTAAAGAGAGTAGATATGCCATGTGCCATAAAGAATTTCTTCCTCCTAAATGACTTAAAGAGACAGAAATATAACAGTTTCTTGGAAAGTTTTGGTGGTGGATCTTGGGTTAACAGTTTGTTAGATGAGGAAATAGAATATGGTCCATTTAAACGCAGGAAAAATGATATCCCTGATATATGTTAGAATATGGTCCACTTAAGCGCAGGAAAAATGATATTCCTTATATATGTTAGTGTGGATATTCCTAATATATGTTAGTGTGGATATTCCTAATATCTGTTAGTGGATTCCTGATATATGTTAGTGGATTCCTGATATATGTGAGTGGTTCCTGATATATGTTAGTGGATTCCTGATATATGTTTGTGGATACCTGATATATGTTAGTGAATTCCTGATATATGTTAGTGGATTCCTTATATATGTTAGTGGATTATTGATATATTTAAGTGGATTCCTGATATATGTTAGTGGATTCCTGATACATGTTTGTGAATTCCTGATGTATGTTAGTGGATTCCTGATATATGTTAGTGGATTCCTGATATATGTTAGTGGATTCCTGATGTATGTTAGTGGATTCCTGATGATGTTTGTGGATTCCTGATATATGTTAGTGGATTCCTGATATATGTTAGTGGATTCCTGATATATGTTAGAGGACTCCTGATATATGTTAGAAGATTCCTGATATATGTTAAGTGGCTCTTACATGCTTTGATAATCTCGATAGGAGAAAAGTTTGGTTCTTGTCTGTCTGTCTGATAATTTCTCTTCTTTTATGGATTGTTTTTTATTCCCTTTAACTGTAAAATTTTGTTTATTTTTGCTGTTCTTAATAGATAATGGTTTACATTTTAATCATTTTTTTAATCAGTTAGCTAGTCTATATTTTACCTTTTGTGTAACTATTTTGTCATAACATTTCTATTTTACTTTCAATTTACAATATCATATATACATCAATATATACATCGCTATACAATCAGAAAGGTAAAGTTTGCTGACTTAATGTTACAGTTTTAAATCAATTACAGTTTATACAAAGGTGGGTTTATACATATACATGTAGAATAGTTATTGCTTAAAAACATATTATTCACATATGGCACATATTTTTATCGATTTTATTTAGTAATTTAATTCTACACAAGTTGTTCATGGTTTACACAGGTTTTGTAAATAAAAAATGTAAACATATAATTGTGTTATATTTAATTTATGGAGCTATTTATTTTCCAGATCTCTATCAGTTGATGTATGTAATGTAGAAATAACTGAAGTACCGCTACAGAAACCAGTCAACACATGTTACTTATTTTCTCATTGAGAAATTTCTTATAAACTGTTTTAGACTTATGATTAACATAAAAACCGTCATTACAGGCTGTCCAGCACCTTCTGACAAAAAAAAATTTTAGGGCAATATTTAAGAAATTTTAGGGCTAAAAATAAGGAATTTTAGGGTAAATAAAAGAAATTATAGTGCTAAAATTTGGAATTTTGTAATTAAACTATGGTCCCAAAAGACCATGAAATGGGCTTACTTTTGCATATTTGACACAAAAGTAACTAACAAAACTAATGCTCTAGTTATAACAAAGGTGACTCAGTGTTCCTAAGTAGTATGGAATAAATGGATTTACTGGTCAACTGTCTACTCTGAATAAGAAAAGCTGAACATTAGAGCTGTTGGTAGGACAGCATGCTCTACTATTCTCAGACAGTGCTTGTTAGGAAAAGAGCCTTGATAATATATTTTTTTCAAAAAAAGGTCAAGGAGTTTTCAAAAAGGGCCAAAAAAATTTCAAATCCATGTTACAGTTATAGGCCTTGGAGAGTGAGCTGTTAGACTTTCAAAGAAGTGTATAAAGTTTCAACTTGTTTCAAAGCGGGATGTCAATGGAATATGAAAATATTTGAGGAGGTACACAAACTTAAACCTTAAAAAGGAGCATAATTCTGTCCAAATGCTTGATAGAGTTACCTCCTGTTAGCAAATTTAGGGCATACTTGTAATGGTGAACAAGTATGCAAAGTTTCAAAGCCAGATGTCAATGTAATTTGAAAATATTTGAGGTGGTAGCAAACTTTAGCGTAAATTCTAAGTTGAAAAAGGGGCATAATTCTGTACAAATGCTTGATAGAGTTACCTCCTCCTGTTTACATGATGGGGCATAATGGTGAACAAGTATGCCATATTTCAATGGACTTTGAAATATTTGAGGTGGTAAGCAAACTTTAGCGTAAATTCTAAGTTGAAAAAGGGGCATAATTCTGTACAAATGCTTGATAGAGTTACCTCCTCCTGTTTACATGATGAGGCATAATGGTGTCAACAAGTATGCAAAGTTTCAGTCATATTACAATGGACTTTGAAATATTTGAGGTGATAAGCAAACTGTATCATATATGTTCTCTGGCTGCTACTATTCTAATTTGACTAAATTTGAAATACAAAACTCAGTGATTGATATAGTAAAACTATTTATATCAAAGAGAACAGGGAAAGGATTAAAAGATTTTAAAAAAGGGGCATAAATTTATCCACTTATGCTCAAATTTTGTAAATAAAAATATTTATGCATATTACACAGTAACTAAATAAACGTGTAACACAAGCAGTTAATTAAACAGTTTTGGAGTGGTGGTGTAGCCGAGTAGTAAAAGCGTCGGACTGGTAATCAAAGAATTGCTGGCTGTCTGGGTTTAAACCCTGTCCGGGGCTAGCTGTTTTCTTGAGCAAGAAACTTTACACTCATTGCTTAATACTGAACAGATTCCAGACTGTGTCTATAAGCTTATAGCTTCCTACACAATTGAACTAATATGAATTCGTTATAAATTAATTTAGAATTGTTCTTAGACAGTGAATATATGTGTATAACTGTTATTAATAGGAAAATTATTTGATATAATTTAGTAATATCATATAACAGATAAGTCAAATCTACAATAAAAATTATTTTATTCAACAATCAATAATAATACATTAATAGCATAAAATATCACAGAATAGCAAAATATTTAAATACTTTTATGTTTGAATATATATAATTCATACATATATATTAAAATTATACACAAATATTATTTGTACTTCTTGAAAAAAATGTATAACAATTATAGCACAATATAACACCTTGTATATAATCAGCAGTTTAAATATCTTTTATTAGTCCCCTACCGGTTTACCGGAGGGGACTTTAGGTTTACCCTCCGTCCGTCTGTCCGTCCGTCCGTCTGTCCGTCCGTCTGTCAGTCCGTCAGTCCGTCCGTCCACAAAACTGGATCCCGCGATAACTTGAAAAGTACTGAAAATATTTTTATGAAACTTGGTATATGGATAGATGGCAGTCTTGAGATTATGCACGTCTTTTTCTTTTCTTCCTATGTTGAAAATTCTGGTTGCTATGGCAACAAATAGGCTGAAAATATGGCAAATTTTACACATAAACTGGATCCAGTGATAAAGCAAAAAGTACTGGAAATATTTTTATGAAACTTGACATATGGGTAGATGGCAGTCTTGAGATTATGCACGTCTTTTTCTTTTTTTCCTATATTGAAAATTCTGGTTGCTATGGCAACAAATAGGCTGAAAATATTGCAAATTTTACACATAAACTGGATCCAGTGATAAAGCAAAAAGTACTGAAAATATTTTTATGAAACTTGGTATATGGATAGATGGCAGTATGGAGATTATGCACGTCTTTTTCTTTTCTTCCTATGTTGAAAATTCTGGTTGCTATGGCAACAAATAGGCTGAAAATATGGCAAATTTTACACATAAACTGGATCCAGTGATAAAGCAAAAAGTACTGAAAATATTTTTATGCAACTTGACATATGGGTAGATGGCAGTCTTGAGATTATGCACGTCTTTTTCTTTTCTTCCTATATTGAAAATTCTGGTTGCTATGGCAACAAATAGGCTGATAATATGGCAAATTTTACACATAAACTGGATCCAGTGATAAAGCAAAAAGAACTGGAAATATTTTTATGAAACTTGACATATGGGTAGATGGCAGTCTTGAGATTATGCACGTCTTTTTCTTTTCTTCCTATGTTGAAAATTCTGGTTGCTATGGCAACACATAGACTGAAAATATGGCAAATTTTACACATAAACTGAATCCAGTGATAACTCAAAAAGTACTGGAAATATTTTTATGAAACTTGACATATGGGTATATGGCGGTCTTGAGATTATGCATGTGTTATCTGTTCTTCCTATTTTGAAAAAATATCAGTTGCCTTGGCAACAAATAGGCTTAAAACATGGCAAATATAACAATATTTGTGATAAGTCAAAAAGAGCTGAAATTTTTTTATGAAATTGCATCTTTAATTCAAGAGTTATCTCCTGTTTAAGAATTTTGCTTTTAAAATGTTATATTTTGGTAACAGGGATGTTTCAAATATTAACTTTAGAGTGTCCTTCAGTCCGTCTGTCTGTCTGTTCATAAAAACTGTTTCCTGTGATCACTTTTAAAGAACTTTTCCAACAAATTACTTAAAATAGAGAAAACTTGAAACATTAGTGAATGGCCCTTCAGAATGTTGATGGGGTTCTAACCGGTAGGGGACTTATGGATTGCTTGCAATACTATGATAATTGCTTGTTCAATTTGGTATGGAGTTTAACAATATCATGTCTTAATGCTTAAAAATAGATAATAAGGTAAAGAGAACAATAATTGTATCAGCTGGGAATTGCAGTCTCCTTCAATGTTTAATGTGTCAGTAACAACATATGTTTCTATGGAATTTATACTTTCAAAACTACTTCTGTAAAACAAGTTTCAATAGTATCATTCACTAACTAAAGGCACATGTATAATTGATCATAGTTCTAACTTTTTTCATTCCAATGCTTTCATAACAAACAGTTTAGGTGAATAAAAAATGACACCAATACTAGTATGTCACAATAAATAATTGTCAAAATATACAGGTTTTTAGCAATTACTACACCTCCTGACACAATTTATGAATACACCAGTCAAGTTCAGTAATTGTATGTAGAAACAGTGACACTCTACAAGCCAGGTTCCCAGGTATAAGTTATACACAACACACTGTCTTATATAATATTTCATAATGCTGCACATTTATTAATGCCATTTTTATTGAATAAACATGCGTTTATATAATCCATGAATATGACTGCTGTAAATTTGTGAAAAACATTTTCATTTTTCTTCAGATAAAGACATTTTGCATTATAAATTTGTTAAAAATATTTCTGACAGGTTATTATAAGCATGTATAAACGGTTGTTTGTAATCTAGTCCTTGCCATGTGGCCTGTTTTCTTCATCAAACCTATCCTGTAGTCTGCTGCATTTACAAAACACACTTTGTTTATCATGTAGTCTGGTTTCTTTACAAAACACAATTTGTACTTTCACTTTACAAAATGCACTTTGTATAATCATCACATAATCTGTTTTTCATACAAAACTCTACTCATCACTGTGTTTACCATATAAAATATCAGATAAAGTATCTTTGCTACACCTGAAATCTTTCAGACACTGTGGTGAACATGATCTGAACATAAAAGGCAAGTTCTTGATACCAAATAGTTCTGTAACAGGTCGTATTATCCGTAGTCCAGGGCCAAACAGTGGCCCTCCACAACAATCACATTCTGATCGACTGAAACAAAACAAAAAATATTTTGATAATCATAAAAAATTAGAATTAGAGAATTACATACAAACAGACCTTTTTGAGGAGATTTTTTGACAGTTTATATATTATATCAAGATGAATTCATTTCTTAAAAAACAAAGTCATTGAACTCACCAATATATTTGTATTGACAAAAAATTTGAAAGTACAAAACAGATTTTATTCAGCCTTATAAGGAAAGCAGGTATAACAGTCGGCTATATTTATAGACATGATAAGAAACTGTTACTTAAAACACAAACAAAATAGAGGAACATCAAACCAGTTCAAAGAAGGCACTTGCATAGTTTTTTATACTTCTAAATAACCTCTCACAATTTTATAAAAGGTACACAAGTTCCAGATAAAGTATTTTAAAGAAATAACATATGCTTACTGTGCTACCATCCTCTGTACAGCTTCTGGTAATAAACCAGGTGATTTTCCCAGGTCAGATTTCATTATGTTTAGTAATACCAGATCCATCAACCTCTGCTCAATATAAACATTAAAGTTTTATTTTATTTTACACTTCATAAAAACAAATTTATGTTAATCCTTCAAACCATAATTATGTTTGAAAATATCTTAAACATCTTTGCTTGACAATATCAAAATTCTGTTATGTATTTGGAATTATTTCACATAAGAGAATGTTGAAATATGCTAAGGTTACTATAGACTAAAGTAGAATACAAAGTAAATTTTGAAAAAGATAATACCTTGAAGTTGTTACTTAATTTTGCTTTTCTTTAAAAGGATTTTTTAACACGACCCAATGTTTACAAAAATAAAGTATCTATTTTGATGTTTTTATTATGTATTATTATACTATAGAACTAAAATCATTGAAAAAAAAGTATACCGGCGTTTTTTACCAGACTATATTTTGGGGTTTTCCCCTTTTTTTTTATTTTTTTTGTCCTTTTAACCCCACAATGCAGAAAATAACCCAACAAGAGAAACAGAATGAATGACATCAAAGACATCTATTGTTATGAGAACAATAGACCAAACCCCATAATGTAGCTCTGGTTTGTACGTCCATACATGTAATTAAGACAGTAAATGGTGTTTGGTTATTCATCTTTTGTTTATCTATATCCTTTAATCTTGATAATGCCAGTTGGATAGACTCCTCAGCTATATAGAGCTAAATAAAACATTCCTAGTTTGTAACTAGAGAGTCACCATATGACCCTGACAGTGTCTAACATCGTTACAAAAATCATAGCTATGTATTCTATTTTACCTGTGGTTCATTATGAGTGTTTTCATGCCAGAATAATGGATGCATAAAATTATTTTTCACATTAAGTCTGTCAAGATCTAGTCGCAGGGCACCAGACGGCATGGCAGGTAACTGGTTCCCCTCAACGTTAAGCTCTCTTAATGACCTGTGAACAAAATGTTCAATATAGTGGGAAGATACTTGGCATTTCAACTAATATACTGTCTTATACGGTAATACAAATATAAAGATCTAAAGTTTGATCAAAGGCTCATACAATAAAGATAATAACTAACAATTTTCAAATCACTCTTGAATCGAAGTTTTCTGTACATAAAGAATTTAGTGATGAAGCACGACAAATTGTTGTCTTTCACTATCCTCAAAAACATAATAGTATAAGTTACATAAATAAACATAATCTTCAAAAACATAATAGTATACGTTACATAAATATGTTTCTCCTTTACTTATATAAGTGTCAATGGGCCTTTAAATTATATAAAATTCAGGATGATGTCAGCGGTGCAACAATGAAATAAAGTGACCACCTGAGTTAGCACTAACAACCTTTTTACAGGACTGCTAAAGTTAAGAGGTGTATAGCAATTTACAAAATGTACATTATAAAAGCTACAATAAGAGAATTATTATAAAAGCTAAATGTTGAAAGTTTTCTGTACATTTCACTTGAAATGTTGTTATTAAAACAATGTAATTTCTTTCCCAAAAGAGCTCTTGTCATTCTGTTCTAGCAGTCATTCTGTTCTAGCAAAGTGTGGTATTATAAAGAAAATAGTACAACATACTTCGGACCTGAGGCCCCTGTTTTTTTTTAAATGTGTGCTGGCTGAATGATCGATTACTACAATACCAGGAGGTCCTTAGTACTATGCACTATTTCTTAGATAGTGACACTCTACAGTTTTCCACACATAATTTAAAATCAATAAACATACACTAACATACAGTGCTATCTCTACAGAGTAACACTCTGTACTGTAGAGCAATAAATTCTACAACAGTTCCAATCAAAATCTAAAATAAGTTGTGTTGTAAGCATAGAAAATAAACATTAATATGAAGCATATTACAACTTACTCTAGATGACAGATTTCATTCTGTATAAACGTGATTCTATTGTAGGAGACATCCAGATAGTCTAAGTTAGGTAGTGAAAACAACCTGTAAATGTAACATAGTTTATATCTTAAAAAACAAAACAAAAAACAACATTTATATGACTGTATTTCTGAGGTTTAAAAAAGTTTTTACTCATTTAAGCTCATCAAATAAGCTATGATTATATGAAGCCTTTCTTCTATTGTATTTGTGAAATGGCCTTGCATAGCTTTAACTGAGAATTATGAATGTAAGGAATTTCAATATAAAATGTAATAAAACTAAGCATCAAGGATAAAGCCTAGACAGAAAACAGAGTTTCTTTAATTTAAAGGGATTCCATCAAGGTTTTTTGAAATGAAGGTACTCCAGGGTTTTTTCTGCCTAAAAACATAGAATTTGCAATGCCCTGAACCATTTATATAACAAAAAAACTCCTAAAATTTCGAATAATAACTTGCTTGGAAAACCATTGATAATTGTAAATTAGTATATTTCTCAGTTATTTTAAAAAATTTACTTGTATATAAGCAAATAAGGATCATATATCAAGTCATATATCATATATACTCAGTAACTTACCTGATAGGTAGAGACTGTATCATACAGAATGATACAACAAGAGTTCTGAGTTTCTTCAGTCTATGTATATCTGCAGGTAAGTCATGTAGCGGGTTGTTCCTTAACTTTAATATCTCTAGTTGACTTATCTCTAACACTGCTGTAGGGAAAGTCTACAAATATACATGTAGTGTTAATATCTAGTTGACAAACCACAAACAATACTGCGTTAAGATAGTATAAAGTAAACCCTTATTATATCACCTTGTCTAATATAACAACAGATCATCAACATTTACAGACACAACTTATTTATGTGAAGGAATGTGGATTTGTGTGACACAAGATCTTGGTATTATAATTATCAAGAAACACTTGTTAAGTAACAAGCTATCTTTAGAAGGCTGACATTTAACAACATAATAATTCTAAACCTAAATCTACAATAAGTACTTTGTAGTGTATCTTTGTCAGTTAATCTGTAAATTTTTGTATTTCCATTTCTATTAAACTCCCTACAAAGCAATTACTTCTTTTTCAAACAATCATAATTCTGTAACTATAAATATGGTTATAACAAGCCTATCATTTCATAAACACCATAATAATACACATGAAAACTTACCACAAAATCATTGAAGGACAGGTTAAGATATACAAGTTTTCTGGTCAATGGTGAAATATCTGGCATCTCGGCTATAAAATGTGCCTGAAATTTATATAAACAATAATCATTTCATTCCATATATCATTTCACTTCATATAAGTTCAAAAATCACTAAACACTTTTTACAGGATGTACCATTTCTAAGCCTTCTATTGTTTGGTCTGCAGTTTTTTATTGCAAATAAAAGAATATTGTCTAGTATTGTATGAAGTATGGGAAAACTTGTGGTCTATAATGGTCAATTTACAAATAAATGAATACATCCACACCATACATATTAAACTACAATAATTTACTTACAGATAAATTATAATTGTTACATATAACAGTCTTTCAATCATTAATTAAACAATATACTTGATTCATGAACTTATCAATTTATAGAGCTCTATACAATCCCTTTTTGTCTGGGAACAAATATCTAACTATGCTCACCTTTAAACTAAGAGCTTTTCCACCTTGTATAAGAGAATCTAGTATAGCTATTTCTGATGGTGTTATCATCCCCTCCTCATTGCTAGCTGTAAACAACATTCAGACATTGTTATAATAACAACAACAACAACAACAACAAAATCTTAATTTCATTTTAGAATATAATAAATATGAACCAGAAGTAATGATACACTACAGATGTAGTTTGCAGGAGGAAACAAGAGCGATCAGTAATCACATGTGTCGCCTCATGATAGCCAATTTCATGTTGGGTCAAATTTTGTGACAGACGGACAGACAGACAGACAGTGCACAACTAGACTTGGTACTGATCATTCCTGTAAAGTTTGGATAAAATTGCACCAGTAGTTAATGAGGAGTAGTCCGGACAAGCTTTTGGCGTATCTGGCAACACACAGAAAAAAAACACCTTTTTATCAAAGGGCCATAACTCGGCCAAAAATCATTCAACCGGAAAACCCGTGCAATGTGCGCAAGGACTTGAGCTACAGATCAATCCTGTAAAGTTTCATTGAAATTGCATTAGTGGTATAAGAGAAGTAGTCCGGACAAACTTTAAAATTAAAAATTATTAAAGGGCCATAACTCTGACAAAAATCATTGAACCGGAAAATGCTGACAATATGCACAACAAGACTTGGTACTGATCATTCCTGTAAAGTTTGGATAAAATTGCACCAGTAGTTTATGAGGAGTAGTCCGAACAAGCTTTTGTGTATCTGGCAACACACAGAAAAAAACACCTTTTTATCAAAGGGCCATTACTCGGCCAAAAATCATTCAACCGGAAAACCTGTGCAATATGCGCAAGGACTTGAACTACAGATCAATCCTGTAAAGTTTCATTGAAATTGCATTAGTGGTATAAGAGAAGTAGTCCGGACAAACTTTAAAATTAAAAATTATTAAAGGGCCATAACTCTGACAAAAATCATTGAACCGGAAAATGCTGACAATATGCACAACTAGACTTGGTACTGATCATTCCTGTAAAGTTTGGATGAAATTGCACCAGTAGTTTATGAGGGGTAGTCCGGACAAGTTTTGTGACGGACGGACGGACGGACAGACAGACAGACAGACGGACAGACAGACGACGGAGAAGTGATCCCTATATGTCGCCACTCCGTAGAGGCGACACAAAAATCTACAACAGCTTTGCACAAGTGATAATTTTTTCTCTCATCTGACCAACAGAACTATCCAATTAACAATGCTAGTGTAATAATTAAGGAGATTATTTTACTATTACGGACACCTCTTTGTAAAATGTCTGGCACTTGTAGACACCGTACAAGTTCCACATACAGCCTGATATGTTCAAGGCATGAAATACTGCAATATACAGGTGATATAACAGGTACTTACTGAAAGGTGATCGACTCCTGCCAGAGCCCTGGAAGTATTTGGACCTAGCAGAGTGAAACATAGCATCTGTAGCTGGCAGTTCTGACTCCCTATAAATATACCATGTTTAAATGATAATACATGTTAATGATGTTTCATTTATTAGTTACCTTACAAAAATTATTTTAGCAGACATTCCTCAGATTGTAGGATAGGAATCATAATATGACAAAGCAAAATGAAAAACAACCTGATCACTGATACATTGCTTGCTTACAAATCAACAAAATGAAACTTATCTTATGCCAATCAATTACAGTTATCAGTGTGTATAACTCATAGTGAGAAAAAAAAACACACACTCACACACATACACAAACAAACAAACCCTACTTATCATTCAGTATCTCAATAACCAAATGTAGAATATAATCTTATATCCGGAAAAAAGTTTCATTTAAGAACAAGATTGTGAGATTATTTGAAATATGTCACTCTCCTGTAAAATTTGATATTTATTTTCCATCTGAAGATATGAAAGATTTCTACAAAAAAATCTCATTAACAAATCATGCATTTTTATAATAATTTTCAGTATATTACTGAAATACAATACTTGTTAATTACCTTGTGGAAATAAAATAAAAGATTGTAAATATTTTATGATATGAAAATCTTTAAAAAAAAAACAAAAAAAAACTGAACAAAAAACACCCACTATCTTTATAATTGTACATGTATATAAATCTTTCAACTTTTTGCTTAGAAAATAAAACATATAAATTTTATAATAAAGAACACTGCAACAAAATTGTATTGGTAAAGAATTCGGTAAACTCTTCAGAATCATCATTTTTTTGTGGTTGGATTCATGTTTATTCAGGACAATGTATGGAGTGCACACACATGTGTTAGTGAATTTTCAACAGTTTTAGTTTAAAATTTTGTAATAAAATCATCATTGGAAAATTATTGGTGATTTGTTAACTTAGTTATACAACCAAACCACTTTTCAGTGATTTTCATATAAAAAAATCTGCTCTTAAAAATGTAAAAAGCTAAATATTTTTAAGGATAACCCAATATTTATTCAATTTCATTGTTATGAAAAATAATTAAAAAAATATATGAAAATATAGATTTGAAAAAATCTTTTCACACACATACAAATGGCACTTTCTCTTCAACTCTAATCATTTCATTTATTAGGTGACTGAGGAGTGGGGGTGGGGGAATGGAGATGTGAAGGAATGGGTGTAATATATCAGGAGGTAGGAGAACACAGCTTACTGTATCTGCTCTATGATTTTCTGTCTTTTACTTTGTTTTATCTCACTTGGTCTTTAAAAATAATCAATGAATTATCAATAGCTGATGTTGATATTTATTCTGTATTCTCTAATTAAATTATTTTTATTTACAATTTTGTTTTGTAGCAGGCTTACTTTTTTCCCCTTTACATACATGACTTCATGAACAGTGAAGTATACAAAATTCTTCATGGTGAAACAAAAAAGATATTTGGATTGCTAATATTATATAAGTATTAATTTGGTCAGTGTACTTTTATCAAATGATAAATTTAAGTATGTACATCTATAAATTGTCTTATTCCAAAATTTGTACCTAGAAATCTCTTTAATGGTCTATTAGAAACCTGAACAATTTAAAAACAAAAAAACTTCCCACTTATTTGCATGGAAAATGATTATAATCTACTAAGTACTAACTGTTCTAAATGTAATGATGGTAGAAATATAAATATATTATATAGATAATTTACACGACTTACTGTCTAACTTGTTGTTGTTGACTGGTAACCTCCAATGTGTCGTCTTCTACCAGGATAATTTCTGTATGTGGTGCTGCTCCAACCTGCAGTCATATATAATATGCTGATAGAATACTCATAGCTGATTAAAACATGTAACATATAAAACATGCTGATAGACTACTCATACCTGATTAAAACATGTAACATATAAACATGCTGATACACTACTCATAGCTGATTAAAACATGTAATATATAAAACATGCTGATACACTACTCATAGCTGATTAAAACATGTAACATATAAACATGCTGATACACTACTCATAGCTGATTAAAACATGTAACATATAAACATGCTGATACACTACTCATAGCTGATTAAAACATGTAACATATAAAACATGCTGATACACTACTCATAGCTGATTAAAACATGTAACATATAAACATGCTGATACACTACTCATAGCTGATTAAAACATGTAATATATAAAACATGCTGATACACTACTCATAGCTGATTAAAACATGTAACATATAAACATGCTGATACACTACTCATAGCTGATTAAAACATGTAACATATAAACATGCTGATACACTACTCATAGCTGATTAAAACATGTAACATATAAACATGCTGATAGTAATACACTACTCATAGCTGATTAAAACATGTAACATGTAAACATGCTGATACACTACTCATAGCTGATTAAAACATGTAACATATAAACATGCTGATACACTACTCATAGCTGATTAAAACATGTAACATATAAACATGCTGATACACTACTCATAGCTGATTAAAACATGTAACATATAAACATGCTGATAGTAATACACTACTCATAGCTGATTAAAACATGTAACATGTAAACATGCTGATACACTACTCATAGCTGATTAAAACATGTAACATATAAACATGCTGATAGTAATACACTACTCATAGCTGATTAAAACATGTAACATATAAAACATGCTGATACACTACTCATAGCTGATTAAAACATGTAACATATAAACATGCTGATAGTCACTACTCATAGCTGATTAAAACATGTAACATATAAAACATGCTGATACACAACTCAAAAAGTATTTAACAAGTAATTGTCAACATAAATAATATGGACATATGTATGAGGGTATAAACTATAATATAAGGGTATCAAAGTGTGTGGGAGTGTTTCTATGCTATCTGGGTATACTGATCCTCACTGGTTTCAACTAATTGGAGTCAATATGTTATAAATTTTATATTATTTCCTAAAACATCTTACAATCATCCTAATGATTAACATTTTATAATATAATTTGATACATGTATGTATTGAATTTGTATGTTGTAGTCACAAATTCAATACATACATGTATCAAATATATTGTATGTTGTTGTCTCAATGTTTATATGCTTTTACTATTTGGAAAGGAATATTTCCTCTTCCTTAAACATTGAATGACATGTATATTCTAATGTACAGCTCTGTTGTTTCCTTCCCTTTGACGGTTAATGTATACTGCCACACTGTTTCACTTTCTCTCTGTGAGCCTTGTTACTGTTCCCATGTCAAATACTATTACAATTAATGTGTAAACCTATATTACACATATATAAGAAATAAAGCATGATATTTTAACTTATTTATGATGTTACTGAAAATGTAGAGTTACAGCTGATAAAGGAAAGCATACTGTAGTATGTATTACAACTTTATGTCACATATATATTACAAACTTCATGACTTGGAGAATATTTAGGTAATGGTCGAATAACTGACTTCACTTCTGTATTCATTAAACTTCGAACATGTTGTTTTATCATGGCCGCCATTTCTATCAGTAACTGTCTTTGAGGAATTCTTGGTTCTGCAGCTGGAATTTCTTGACCTTTAAAACAGACATATATACATTGTAAATAATGTAGAAATACATAGTAATCATTTGTAAAAATATTCCCTTTAAGTAAAAAAGTACATCACAAAGAAATTTGATCATACAACATTCTTCTCTTGCAGATATAAAGGTAAAAGTATGAGGGGTAGCAGCCTAGTGGTTCAGGTGTCTAGGCACATCCTGATCAACGGATGGTGGGTTTGAGCACTACTAGAGTTATTTATAGAGAATAAACTCTGAAGCAATTAATATAAGTTGCAAGAACCTGTTCACATTAAAGCTTTATAAACAAATATATTTAAACTAAACATAAGTAAAAGCAATCCTTGAACACTTTTAGTAACTTGTATAGAAATTTATCTATTGGTTGCTAAGAGTTATTTATATATGTAAGTACTAGATGATGCCCATCAGATACACATGCTTCATAATTTATTTGGCTAGCAATCATTTTTAATGGTGTCAAGCAATAAATTATGGTTATATCAATTTACATTACTGCCAATACTTAATCTCTGTAGTATCTTGTATAGTTTTAGATAACTTTAAAGATATTTATCACACATCCATACCGATTTTGCAACTCCGTAAAAATGGTATTGCACGGCCGTGCTTATATTTTGACGTGACGTCATTAGCGCTATACAAACATAGTGTAAAGACGTGCTAAATATTAGCGTTATACTATAGGCGCGTTAATGAAAAATGACTCTTATTTCACTTCAAACAGTCTTTATTTTGGGTATGTGATAAATAGAATATTAAAGTCGTGTAATTTCAATACTGAATTTATTGCACTTGTTGAATAAACTAATATTATGCTCGCCAGAGGCTAGCATAATATAATTTTATTCAACTCGTGCAATAAATTCAATATTGAACTTACACTCATTCAATATCCTCTATTTATATCATAATATTAAAAAACAAGAACAGATTTATTTCTTACTTTCAGGTGTCAGATGTTGTAAATGAACTTCATCTTGTGTAGGTGGATAAATACATTCCTCTGCAATCAATTTAGTTAATTTCTTATAATTTTCCTTTGAGTATACCAACGCTCGCACTTTACGTAATGGAATGTTTCGTACATCAGCCACATCCACCATAAAGTTTTCTAGAGTAAATGCTGGTGGGTTATAAAACCTGATATCATCCACTATGTCTATAGCATGAGCAATCTCTGGATTTCTCCTTGGTGGACGTGCTGGCAGACCATCAGGTCCTCTTGGTTTGTATGGTTTAACTAATGACTTGCCATCAACGTAGGTTCCAAGACTTGTCTGGTCGCGAAATAATGGATCCAAAACAAATTTCTTTTCATCTCTACTTACATATGAAATATGACTGAGTGGTGAAGGATATGTGAATGTTCGAAACACAGATTTTCTTTGAAATGATTCTGACGGTGGTGGTGATACCTGGGAAATAAACACAAACACATGTTTGAATAGTCTCAAAATACAACATTGATATCAACTTACATAACAAAAAGTGACAATTGTAAGAAGCAAGTCTGAAATCTAAAAGCTCTAGGTAATAACATTTTACAAAACAAAAGTTGAATGTATGATCAATTATTACACTGGAAAACATACTTATACTTTAATTTCATTGCATGTACATGTATATTAAAACTAGAAATATTTCTGTAGGACACATAATATGCTCTCACTTCATTTGTAGGTCACAGTGAATATTTAATGCATTAAAGTCAAGTGCCAAATTATTATTATAAGTAATATATATAATTATAGTAAACACATGTATATTTAATAAGTTTCACAAACCTATCAGTAATTGATTAGACAAGGATTTCAAGTGTCAATGTTACCTTTTACCTAATGACCTTAAAATGGAAAGGTGTTGTCTGCAATGTCTAATCCAAATTAAAAAAACCCACCTAGGCTTCTGTTTTTTTGAGTTATTTGTTAGAAAATATTTCACACAAAGTGTCACTGTGACCTTGACAAATGACCCAATGACCTCACAATGAATAGAGGCTACCTAATGGCCATATGAAAAGTTTATACCAAGTTTCATAAACTTTGACATATTACTTAAGTAATTGAACATAATTTATATGTAAATAATTGGATTTCACACAAAATGTCTCAAAACCTGATAAACAGTGGTCATCTAATGGCCATGAGCAATGTCCCTATTAAAATCAACTTTAACAAACTTAGTCTTACTCCCCTTATATACATATATAAGCTACTGATTGGACAAGGAATTTAAACAAAGTGTCACTGTAACCTTGACAGTATGACCGAGAAATCAATAGGGGTCATCAATTTGCCATGGCCAATAGCCTGAACCATGGCTTATTGTTTCTCATTTAATTTTTTGATCCAACAAGGATCACAAGACATACATACGTTAAAACTAAATACCTCTTCTGATAGTATCAATAAAAATTCAAATCATAATAATAACCATGTATTAATAATCCAAATCTGTAAATATTATTTTGTACCATATCAGAATCTTAATGTAAACTGATGAGCAAATAAATCAATAAGATAATACAATGCACATAGTTACCAAACTAGGAACTACACTAGGTGTGGGTGAATGCCGAATGGTTGGATCTCTCGATCTATATGCTAAGTCATCATCTAGGAAATCAATAGACTCAAAGTATTCTGTCAGTTTAGAAGCAGCACCAGGTCCGCTAGGTGCAGGAGTTACAGGGAGGGGTGGTAGAGGCTTTGGTGCACGAGGCTTACGTAGCAGTTGTTTACCCATTGTTCTTAATCATACATTAGACAAATATTGATAACCTGAAATAAGAAAAAATAAATATTATTATATGTATTATAAATAAGACACATATTTACAAAATAAAAATTATGGAAAACGCATTAAAATTTAACATAGGGCATACTAATTCACTTCACTAATACTGGATATGCATTTAACTCAATTAAAAGTGTGTAACTGGTCATAAAGTTTCAATGCGGAAATCAAGCATGCCATAAATTGCACGATTGTCACAGTTATTTTGATTAAACTGGTTTTGATCTGTTGACTGTTTTCCATGATAGTGGTCAGAGAGAATTACTAACTACACCCATGTATTTGCCACAATAATGATTCACCACAGTGAAATAATGATTCACCACAGTGAAATAATGCTTTGACTCAGTAGGATTAAAGCAATAATTGTCAACAAGTGTGACTGGTCTTTTAATGTTAGATTTACTCAAGGAAAAGTAAATCAACTTTTTAAGAATTTGATATTGATTTAAAATTGATTAAAAAATGCACATATTTCTAAAACAATTGTTACTCCTTTAATTTTAACAAGCCTAAAATATATAAAGATTGTTCATAATATATTTGACAGCGGAATTTTCCTTTCAATCCCTGTAAACATTGTGATACCAGAGAGAAATAAAATGTTCTATCTATTTATAATTTAAACTGTTGATTAGCAGTAAATATATTGTTTTATATTAATTATGTTCACTCTGTCCTTGTTAATTTATTTACAAGTCAACCTGTTGTGTAATTTTTATAATAAATTGTGTTTGTTTTCATATTTTTTTTAATAATTCATTATTTAACTGTGACAAATCATTACTACTCTGTGGCGAGTCATGTGGGGAATCTATTTAGCATGGGACTCCGTGTTATCGACATACTTAAAGTTTCCTATATGTCTGTATTGAATTGACTTTAATAATGAATATTTGTATTGAATTGTATTTGGTGAATTTAATAATGAATGTTTTGTGTAAAGCAGAACAAATTTGACTAAACATTACATTTTTCATTGAATGTTGTCAAAAATTGTTCACTTCAACATATGCATGCATGACAGCAAATGACAAAATACTGACAGAATGTTGGTAATAGAGATGCGTCGATAATACAGAGTTAGAGTAGATGTTTTTATTTTTGCAGGTAGATCATTCATAGAGCTATTTTGGATTTCTTTTTGATAGCGAGCTCGACGAGCTGACCCGAAGGGCCTGCCCGCAAAGCGAGCTTTACGGTAACGCGAGTACCTGCTAAGTGATGGTTTTGAAAACTTTCGTCCGAAGTACCGAATTGGACACATCGCAACTTTTCGAATTACAAGATAACGATAAAAGCCGATGTACTCTGATTGAAAACGGAAGTGTAGACTGGTGTCCTACGCACTTATAGAGGAACCATAATAGAAAGTAGGAACCAGAATAAACGGAAGCAGTGTATAAAATACCGAATGACAATTTTAAAACGGAAAATGTAAAATAAAAATGAACGATTATTTTAAACAATCTTACGGTAAAAGAAAATCGAGCTCGCTTTGAGGCTTTGCCTTTTTCATACTATTCTTTTCAACAGTTTTCTGAAGCACTTATGAAAATTTGAGTAAGTTAGGTTTTTATAAAGGAAATTTTTTCTTCCAATTCATGAAAAAGTTTGAGGTAATTTTAGATTCGAGTTCTACTAGTTCTAGAAAGAAGTTCTACATCATACTGCTTTAAAATCGTTTGCGATCACTCCAAGCAGGCATACATTTTTAAGAGACAGCTTAGGCATGTTAGGCAAGTTTTTTTTATAATCAGTGATAATCAAAATTAAGAATAAACAGTGTTTGGCATAGTAAAGTAGATCTATCAAATATATTTTCCTATATCAGAGACAGCTTCGCTGTGAATTTAATACAAAAACAATAGTCTGTTCGTTTATGTTGCATTTTCTTATCTTATATTTACATTTTTTTCTAAAATTTACCTATTCGCGGCCATTTGTAAACTGTCACCATAACAAATCGATCTGGATCGTTAGACGAATGATACGAAAAGTTGAATACCACTAAATGCCAGTTTAGCCTAAAAGTGCGAAAAGATCGTACATGTGGTGTTGCCGGCTCGCCACGGCGAGCCGGTATTACGGTAGGATTTTACTGAGAAACAACCTAAAACTCCGAAGCCATCCAAAAATTTAATCGACGCTTGGCTTCCAGCTTTCTACAAAATTTATCTATCAGGGCTAGGATCCAAAATTATTTAGCCAATCAAATTTAATCTTACATAGCGTCAAAAAAACCTTCAATTTTCACGCCATTTTTAAAAATCAGCAAGTATTGTTTTGAGCGCAAAGATATAATAATGATGATTAAAATGTTTGTCTTTATGAATTCTTTTCAATAAATCATATTTACACTGACTTCTGATTTAGCGATTTCACCTGTTTTCTCTGTAGTAAGTTTTCGTTTGGTTAATTAACATAAGTGTACATCTGGTTCTGTGCATTTTTTATTTTTCCCTTTTTCCGGTCATTTTATCCTTTCCGGTATTTAGTGTATGTATTTACTGGCCGGGATCCGGGACGCCCGGGATCCGGGATCGTATAAGATATGGAGGAAAAACCTAATGAACTATATTTGTGTTGATTGTTGTCGTAATGAAAGACCATTAAACGCTAATTTTTTTTATTGTATGTAATGGACGTTAAATTAATTTAACTTAGAATATAGATATATTTAGAGCTATTTATTAACAAACTTAAAATGCGGAAATCACAATACTTGTAATTATATGCCTAATTAATTGGAAAAATCAAAGACTATTTTCTTGAATTGGTCAAATCCCGGGATCCCTATATGTTTTAAAACGATCCCAGCTTTTCTGAAAACTATATACTTGAACTGGCCAATCCGTGAGATCTATTTACATTTTAATACGATCCCGGCTTTTCTGAAAACTATATTCTTGAACTGGTCAATTCCCGGGATCCCTATATGTTTTAATAGGATCCCGGCTTATCTGAAAAACATCTTCTTAGACTGGTCAATTTCCGGGATCCCTATATTTTTTTAATAGGATCCCGGCTTTTCTGGCTGAATTGATTGACAACTTGTGTTTACTTTAGGACTTGTGCCTCTCATTCCAATACTAAATAACATACATGTATTACAACTTAATTTTGTATAAAGAGACATCTTTATGAAATCTACCTATCTAACATTTTGTGGTCAAGGTCAACAGGCCATATAGTAAATGTGCATAGACATAGGTTCTTCATTCTATCTGTTTACATGCACCTTCATATATACTCATACTCATCTTGGTTAAACTGAGAGAACTTTATATGTCACTTTCAGTCAATGAGTTTAAGATTTTGAATTTACTGGCCCGAATTCCAGTTTTGAATTTATTCTACTAAATAATTAACAAAATTTTTCTTAAATTTACACTGGCCTGAACTTATATACACTGGCCATCGGGCACCGGGCCAGTGTTGACTTCACTTTTATTTTGATGTTCGCTGAAGTCTCTTCAGCTAACAGAACTGTTATTTTTACATTTAAACACACCCCTTGAAAAAAATTACGAAGCGAGTCGCTACTAGCTTTTTTAAAAGCTAACCTTGTATTCTTTTATTTTATGTCACATGTTCTTATGAACCATGACAGTATTGAATAAAATCAAAAATCTGAAATCAACATTGAAATTTGAAGATCTTATGAATGGTAAAAACAAGTCACATTTAAAAACCTTGCTTTATTTTGCACATAAAGAAATCACAGACACTTGGATTTTAGAGCCCCACTCAACTGCGCCCCTGAATATTACAAAGCACAGAAGGCGCTGAATTTGTGTGGGTCTCAGAATGTCACAAAGGTGAAGGTTGTGAGATTTATTAACCAATTTGTTTGTATAGTGTCACCAATGCTGTTTCCAGTGTTATAGCTATAGTAAATTGGCTATAAGACTAATTAATTGCAACACTGATAAGATCTTATCTTATCTTATCTTATCTTATCTTATCTTATCTTATCTTATCTTATCTTATCCAGTGTTATAGCTATAGTAAATTGGCTATAAGACTAATTAATTGGAACACTGATATTCTTTTCAATGTTTATCAAAATAATAAAATAAAAAAATAAACCCCCATCAAAAACATGAGTTGCCTGAGCTGGGGTTTGAACTCCAAATCTCTCGCTTCCAAAGTGAGCGTGTAAACCCCTCGACCACGGGGAATTATAAGATAACAGCCTGAAGAATATCATATTATTCTAAATTATAGAGTTTGTAACCCTTATTAATTTCGATATATTTTGTTCACGTTAAACCTGTTGTTTAACACTGAAGTAAATAATCATGGAGCTGAATATAAGCATGTTTATCTTTAAGAATAACACAATATTAGAAACCTTCAGGGGAGGGCCCCCGATAATGTTGTTATAACTTTTGGCCCAACCCTTTTGTATATTTACATTAATGTATTTATGTATAATTGTGAACATTTATGTATGTATGTATATATATACAATAAAATATGTTTAAACTAAAATTAGAAACCTTCGACCAATCGGGAATTATTTTTTCGTTACGAAAATTAATGCGCCTGTCATTTGACAATCTTTACGCAGTGATCTCCCTTTAATTTTTCGGCGTTAATGTACATATGAAGGGAAGTAACCGCTTCGAGGAGTTTGGACTACTTTCGGCATTTGCAAATAAGAACATCAGGGTCTGAAATTTCGTTACCATTATTTGTTTGGTCTAACGACCCAAACAAATAAAAACTGATGTATTATTTATTCTAGTTTTGGTAGGCTGACCACTGCTAAATTTATGAATAAGAACTAGTTTTAATTTTTTGCTTATATTAGTATGAGACGGTTAAGTGTCTAACACGTGTACAAGTTTAAACAGAATTTCATAACGTTTTTAAAAAGTCAATTTTTTACCAACGCTTCAATTTTCTTGAAATTATGATATTTTAGGGATTTTTTTAAACGTTGTCAAAATAAAAGAAAACAAGTTTTATGTTCAAGACACGTGGCCAGGTTGTAATAATATGCAAAAAAAAAAATAAAAAAAAATATATTGACGTTTGCTTTGCAAACGCGGATCAAGGGAGTCACGCACATTACCCCAAGTGTCTGAAAAAGAAATAATTACAACATGCAAATAATAAGTATACAGTAATGTTGTATTATAAGTCTCCTAGATATTGTGTTATTGAAGTATAACTTCCGGTTATTATTAAGAATCTAGTAATATCTTTATTCTATTTGATGGGTACAATATAATTGTCACTCATTCTCCTGTTTTATGTATATTTTTCTGTGTTCCGGTTGTTACATGTTCACAATTTTTGTATTTTATGTCACATGTTCTTATGAACCATGACAGTATTGAATAAAATCTTGAAATCTAGAAAACAAAGTGTAGGCCTATTTATTATTATTATTACTATTATTATTATTATTAATAATGATGATAATAATAATAATAATAATAATTGTACTTGTTTTATCTTAATACTTTCTAATACTGCTATGCGCATGTCAATAATCTTCCCGCCACTCATACACTTGAAACATCCAGTGGTCATAAAACAACACGTGTCTGTGTTATATATTACACGTGCACGCTCTGTGTAGATAGATCCATAATACAACAACAACAACAACAACAGCAGCAGCAGCAGCAGCAGCAACAACAACAACAACAACAACAACAACAACAACAACAACAACAACAACAACAACAACAACAACAACAACAACAACAACAATAACAATAATAATAATAATAATAATAATAAAAACAACATATAGTCTTGAGCAGTGAATATGTATTTTTTAACTTAAAGTCAACGTACGTAGCACATTCATATTGGGTCGATGTAACGTTTATAAAAATTGAAAAATGTTTAAAAATAAGGCTTGGGCAGTGTCTGGCTTACGGGGTTAATGAAAAATATACAAATTTATGAAAATAAAACAATAATGCAGCATGTATATGCATAATCATGTTACAGATTATTCAATAATTTAGCAGTGGTCAGCCTACCAAAATACCGTTATCTTTATCATCCACGTGACACTTCTATTCTCAAATACAATGTTGTCGTCTTTCACCAGGAAGGTCTTTTTCAGAAAACAAGTGCAGCGGTGTTTGGATTTTTCAACAACCGCATGCGTCGGGAAAGTGTACAATGAACCTTTGTCAGGCCATGAAATGCCGCGGGCCGGTGGCATCGCTTCCATGATGAGACTACCAGTTCAAACCGATACTGAAGGTAATATTAAATAGCTGTATATTAAAGTGTAACCAGATTTTTTGGAGCAACGGATAATCGGAGACGCCGAGAAGTAGGAGAAAAGTGTTAAGTTTTAGATATTTATATTGTGTAGTAAATCATACATACGGAAATAAAATAGAAATAGATAAAATAAGATGTGGTTAAGTGCATGTACTATATCCTAAATCACGTACTTTAATTCAAGTCCACGCATAAATGCACATAGAGATAGGTAAACGATGAATTAAATCGACTCTTGATGTTGAAATATATCTGTAGAAAAGAATGTTTAAAGATAAAATAAAAAGTAGTACAGAATGTTATGAAAGTACGTACGTTATCAAACGAGGATTCGATCATCCGTTAATTTGTATATAATATCATGTCCAAGAAAATATTTTATTTATTAAATATTGTTGTTAAAAGGCAGATTTGAGGGTTATTTTGTGAAAAGCATGAAAAGATATATATGATTTATAAAGAAATAATTATAATGATTGAAGGACATTTAAATTATAAAAGGTAACTTGATGAATTTCGAATAAATACTCCTACGATTTATTCTAAATAATCAAAAGTGATTTTCCCTCGCAAATAATTCAAGTTATTATCACAAAATGATAGCAATATAAAGTTTTTTATTATTTTATCGGCAATCTCATAATCGACGGACGACCAGTCATTTAGAGGTTGAACACCACTAAATAGTTTTCACGTGCAAAATACGCGTCTTATATCCAATGTATCGATATACAATCCTCGATATCGGAGGTGCCAATCAAACTAATATATGATTAAATCTAGGAGCTAATATTTCGTTCGTTTTGTTTATGCTCACAAACTATTATGCTTAGATGTTTTCTTCCTCAGCTATATGTCGTCCATTGTTTTCAGTTACGCTGTCACCAACCGTTTTATAAGATCTTAAATAAACCATGTTAGCATGTTTTTATGAATGATTTCTTGAAAAGGTTTGCTTAAGCCTCTATCTCATTAGCCCTACGGCAGCCGTACGAACACATTTTGACAAAAATCGCTGTGTTTCGTGCGGGAGCCGCAAGACATTCGTAGGGATTCTTTGAGGTCGCAAAGTTGCCGGAACGTCGCAGACTGATTTCTCAACATGCTAATTATTTCTGCGATTTTTTGTTCAGAACTTCAAACTTCAGAAACTATTCTTGATGATGTAAACAATGTCAACAACGGATCTTCTGTTGCTATAAACATGAACTTACCCTATTTAAAGGATATCTCATCTAATGTTTCTAATGATGATACATTGCTTTTTAATTCTTTTCTTAATAATGAAAATGTTGATGCACTTGATATTCATGTTTTGAATGAGCATACTTACTGTGTGCCAAAAAACCGAAATATTATTAGTTTATCGTTTATAAATGTAAATGGTTTAACTTCTAAGTTGTTATTACCAGAATTTGATTATTTTATAAAACAATATGATATTTGCTGCTTTGCTGAGACAAAGCTTGATGAATTTGATGTGCCCTATGTACACGGGTATACTTTTAAGAGTTTAAATAGGGAAAAATGTAAACGTAAATCTGGAGGTGTTGGTATGTTTATCAAAGTTATATTTGCGAAACATTTTCAGATGCTTGAACACTGTAATGAAAACTTTATTTGGTTCAAATTCAATAATGACAATTGTATTTTTGGGGTGATTTATTTACCACCGGAGAGTTCTAAGTATAGTACATTAAGTCTTTTTGATGATTTAGAGAACGTTTTACTTGATTTCTCTGGGAAATATCATGATTGCACATTTTGCTTGTTGGGTGACTTCAATGCAAAAACTGGCAGACTGAGTGATTTTCAGGAAGTAGATAGTTACATTGCAAATTTGAACTTTGATCATGCTACCTATAATATTGCTGGTACGAATCAGCTTAATGAACTTGGCTTTACAACATCACGTTTTACTTGTGATAATCATCGTCCTGACAACTTTGGTCGTAGGCTTTTGGAACTTTGTAAATTGGTAGGCTTATACCTGGCCAATGGAAGGTGTGGTGCTGATGCTTACATAGGTAAAACCACAACTATATATGATAGTGTTATTGACTATGTTTTATTATCTGGTAGTTTATTTCCAAGAATAACCTTCTTTGATGTTAAAGAATTTGATCCTTTATTGTCTGATGTTCACTGTGTTTTAGAACTTTGTTATTCTTGTGAGGTTCAGGCAGAGGATGATGATGAAAACAAGGGTAATGATGGTTATCAATCTGATAGTGTAATCCACAAAGCATTGTGGGACAATAAGGCCAGAGCAGATTTTATTAGTAAATTTGATGACAATCTAGTATCAGATCTTATGAAAGAACTAGATGACTCTACTCAATTGAATGTTTTTGATCAGCGTAAAATAAATCATCTTACAGAAAAAGTTTCAGATGTGATTTTTTCTGCAGCTCAAAACTGTAATTTGATCAAGAATAGTTATCCTTTAAAAGATAAAAAAAGTAAGGTTAAGAAGCCAGCATGTTCAGACAAGCCTTGGTTTGATCAGAGTTGTAGAAATGCTAGGAATGGTTATTTTTTAGCAAAAAATAAGTATAGAGTAAACAGATCTTTAGAAAATTTTGAAGATATGCAGAGGAGAAGCAAACAATATAAGACGGAAATTAACAAAACATTTAAAGAGTTTAATACCTGCATTGTAAACAAAATTAAAGGTCTTAAAAACAGTGATCCCAAATCTTACTGGAATCTTCTTAATAAGTACTCCAGTGAAAGAAAAACTGTGATAAATAAAATTTCATGCGAGGTTTTTTATGATCATTTTAAGGATCTAAATAATGTAGACTTTCATAATGAAGAAAATTTTAACGAGGTAGACATTGATAAGATAAGCAGCTATAATGAGGAATTAAATTTACCATTTACAGTTAATGAAATTCAGTCAGTTTTAAAGGCTTTAAAGAACAACAAATCTGCATCACCAATGGATAATATCTTAAATGAATATCTTAAGAATTTGCCCTGTTCAATGTTACCAGTTGTTTGCAAACTATTTAATATTATTTTTGATTCAGGTTTCTTCCCTGAAATTTGGAGTAAAGGGGTAATTCTTCCTTTATACAAGAATAAAGGTGATATTAATGATCCTGACAATTACAGGGGAATAACAATTTTGAGCTGTTTTGGTAAATTATTTACATCTGTTGTGAATAGTCGGTTGAATAAATTTTTAGAATCTGATAATATTCTTTGTGAAGAGCAAGCCGGGTTTAGAAAGAAATACAGTACAGTTGATCATATTTTTTCACTTAAATGTTTAATAGATTTGTACTTGGCTAACAAAAGAAAACTATTTTGTGCTTTTATTGATTATAGAAAAGCCTTTGATTCTGTAAATAGACTTGCTTTATGGAACAAGTTATTAAGTTCAAATATAGATGGTAAATGTTTTAAGATAATACACAATATGTATGAAAATATTAAGTCCTGTGTTAGAGTCAGTGACCAATTTTCTGACTTTTTCTCAAGTCTGGCTGGCGTCCGACAAGGAGAAAATTTATCCCCAGTTTTATTCTCTTTGTTTTTAAATGACTTGAACTCGTTCCTGTCTCAAAGATTTGAAGGTTTAAATTTCCTGTCTAACAGTGTTAGTAACACTTTAAGCACAGATGATTTTGAAGTTTATCTTAAATTGTTTATGTTGCTCTATGCTGACGATACAGTTATTTTAGCTGAAAGTCCTAATGAGTTACAAAAAGCATTAAATGCAATGTCTGATTACTGTAATACTTGGGGTTTAAAGGTAAACACTGCCAAAACAAAAATTGTTGTGTTCTGTAAAAGTAAAAGGGGGTGGAATAATATTAATCCTCTAGAATTTGAGGGTAACATACTTGAGATTGTAGATTGTTTTGATTATCTTGGGGTTCAGTTTTCATTTAACGGAAAATTTTTAGGCACAAGAAAAAAACTGATTGATCAAGCTCGAAAAGCTATGTTTTCTGTGTTAACAAAGTCTCGGAAACTTTCTTTACCATTTGATATACAATTGAGTTTATTTGATGCAATGGTGGCTCCTATTATTTTATATGGATCCGAGGTCTGGGGAGTAGAAAATGTACAAATAATTGATCGTTTCCAATTGAAATTTATTAAATTAATTTTCGGACTGAAGCAATCTACCCCATCATGTATGATTTATGGCGAGCTAGGAATATTGCCTTTGTCTTTGCAAATTAAGTCAAGAGTTCTGAACTATTGGGGCAAACTGATTAATGATAAAAAAGATAAAATTTGTTCTATGCTGTATTGCATGTCAAAGAAACTTTATTCTGATTTTGATGTTGATTTTCCTTGGTTGAAATTTGTGCATACTTCTTTAGATTCTCTCGGTCTGTCAAGTTATTGGATTTTTCAAACAGTTAGTTCTGTCCCACATTTTAAGAAAATTATTTCTGCTAGAATTAAGGATCAGTTTATTCAAGATTGGCAATCTTCTATTCATGAATCCAGTAAATGTCTGAATTATAGAATTTTTAAAACTCAATTTGGTTTTGAAAAATACTTTAACATTTTACCATCAGATTTAGCAATAGCGTTTTTCAAATTTAGATGTATGAACCACAAAATGCCAATTGAAACAGGTAGATTTTTTAATTTGGATAGAAGTCTAAGAGTGTGCTGTTTACGTTCTGATAATTTGTTAGGTGATGAATTTCATTATTTATTTCACTGTTCCTATTTTCAACACCTGAGAAAGACATATTTAGACAATTCATTTTTTCATAGACCTAACATTATTAATTTTTCAAATTTAATGAATAGTGAAAGCAAAAATGTTTTATTCAATCTAGCAATATTTTTTTTTCATTTTGATCTCATTCTCCGATTCTAAATTGTTAAGTATAAATATGTTATATTTTTATTCTATTTTTTTTAATTCTATTTTGTTCTCTTTTTTTATGTACATAATTATGTTCATAAAATTGCCATTTCAATTATGTATCACTTTACTTTGTTTTGTAAACATTTGTTATATTGTTGTTTTCTCACATGCCCAGTTGGGCCTTGAGATATCAATTAAAACTTGAAAACTTGACAGATTTTGGACGTCTTAAGACGTCGTAAGACAATCGTACGACATACTCACGATTTCTAGAGGTTCCCATGTAAAAATGTTTTGCGTTTGCCTTGCGAGGACGGCAGGTTTGCGGCTACCGTGGCCGTAATCAAATGATATTAAATAACATATATGTCTGGAAAGACTGCGAAATTGCCTGCGATCTTTCTACGGCATAGATTTCTCTACAAATCGTACGAACCAAATTTCGTGCGGCTGATGTGAATGAGGTTTTATGGGTCATGCATGAACGCATTTTAGTATTACTCAATACACTATGTAGTGGACAACTTTGTAGGTTTTAATTGAAGGATTATATCACACATGTTCACAAATATGAGACCTAGGGTTACCAGCATAATCAAAGTCAATTTTCGCAAGGCCAAGAGATGATCAAATGTCCATTATAGTTATACTAGATACAAATGTTCATCGCCAAAAGACACAGTGGTGTGCGCCTAAACCAGTGCGAGCTTGAGTGTCACAGTTAAAACACAGGTCCCTGCAGCCCAGGTCAAGGCCACACATACACGTCCAAGGTCAGATTAATGGAACAGTTTTGAAACCTTGAATAACGGGATTTAACACACATGTGTTGTGAGCACAGTCCTATGTCGCTTTAAATCGTAATTGCAATTAGCCTCTTACCATTACATAGACGTTGATTAACAGATGTAAATGAATACTTATTGATGAAGAAGCTAATTCTTAACATTACATTTTATTAAAATTGTGTTTTTATGTTTCTTAAAAAGAAAAAGAAAAACGGTATATAAAAAAGGGTAAAAAAGAAATGTCCTTGTGTTTTTCATTTTTATTTATTATTCAGGTCTTGATGCATGTTTTGTGGGTGTACCATTAGATATTGGTACGTCAAACAGGTCAGGTACGCGGTATGGTCCGCGACAGATTCGCTGTGAGTCTTCTCTAATAAGAAAGGTCAATATTGCCACAGGTGAGTGTTATACTTCTACACAATTATAAATTATAACATCTTATTTTTAGACAAAGAAAATTTGCAGTGAAATTTTACATATTGTAAATTGATTCATTACCATTGTTTTTATTCAACAACAAAAAGGCACAATGGCCTCAATTCTGGACTGAATGTTAGGACAAATTATTGAACTTGACTGAATTTAATAACTATCATTTCCGATATTCAAGAATGTATAACACGTTTTGCCATTAAAGTTTACCAGCTGTATTTGGGATTAAGTTAAAAGTGACCTCTGTCCTAAACAAATATATTGTTATATTTTGTTGACCATTATTTCTACAATAATTTATGACATTATGTTATATAATGACATTATTTACGTTAAGAAAATACTCCCAATTATTCATACAATTATAATGTTGCAGGTGCTTGTCCATTTGACTCGATGCAAGTAGCTGATGTTGGTGATGTTAACTTGAATCTTTACAATCTGCCGAAAGCTTGTGAGGATATTCGCAAACATTTTTGTAATCTAATTAGGAATGGGTGTATTACATTGGCAATGGGTGGAGATCATACGTTAACATATCCTATTCTTCAAGCCATTAAGGTAACATGAAAATCTCAATAATTAAAGTTATTGATAAAAGATCATTTCGAAAACAAATAAAGCAAAGTCTTATCTTTTTATTCAGTGTGTTACATCTTTTATCTCACTAAGCAATTCATATAGCTGTTTTATGACACCCTTATTGGCTAACTTTTTGATTTAAGGGTACATTGTTTTAAAACTATCAAAGATAGTAACTTTCAAAAAATGGGACCTATTTTCGAAATTGCAGATAACCCGGTTGAATAGTTTGAAAGTTCCGGTTTCGTGCATTTTTTCCCTTTGACAAAGCAGAGTGAAACTGACAGCTCTTGTTTGGATTTTTTGAATACATTTTGTAAATAGAATTTAATATTTCAAATGCTCTTCTTTCAATTGAGTTGATTTAAATATTAGTTAACCTACAAGGTAACTCAATAAAGTGACAAGCTTTTTATCTTATGTATTATCGTATAAATTTACGTGTGAATTTGTCATTAATGTTATTGGACTTACAATGAATGTAACAGCAATTTCAATTTTATTCATGCAGTTGATATTGAGATTTTATGAAGTTATGTCTATGCATTCCTAATACCATTTCAGTCATAAATAAACATTTGTGCTGGGATAATATAATGTATATATAGTGATTTGCTGACCTGCATATTTGAATAAAACTACTTTATCTTATCTTAGTTAATAAGTCATGATAATATTTGACCTATAACAGTATAACATGACCTTGCATCAATTAAAATAAGCTTTATAACAATGACAATATCTAAGAATAGATAATGACAGATACTTTTGATGTAAAGAAGATACAACTATCATTTAACACTGTATATATTAATCTAGGTTAAATATCATTATTATTTGTAGAATATTTGAAACATTTGAATGGCCAGAGAAAACTTATTTAAAAAGATATTAATTTTGATGCAGTTTGTTTGAATAATTATTCCGACTCTTGTTTAACGAACATCTGAGCGTTGAACCATACAGATATCAACTGATAATGTTGTTTGAAAATAAACCACGGTCTTTCAAGTCTGAAGTATTATGTAACAAAATTTTGCAGATTTGACATGTGCACTATCAACTATCGAATATAAGTAATCATAGATTTCTTTCAAGTCTATGGCCTTTTGAAATATTGTGGATCTTTATTATGACTGATCTACTATTGAGAATGTGCTCAAAATTATGAGTCATGCATTTTCTCAGTATAAGTTTATCAAGTTGAAATTATTTCTCTATAGGAGAAGTACGGGCCTGTTGGACTGGTTCATGTTGACGCTCACTCGGATACGAACGATGAGATGTTGGGAGAAAAGATAGCTCATGGCACGCCATTTAGGAGAGCTTTTGAAGAGGGATGTCTTGTGGGTAATAAAGTTATACAAATTGGTCTGAGAGGTAGCAATTATCACCTCACTGATTATGACTGGGGTAAACAACAGGTGTGTACATGGATTATTTAGTTATGTTAACAAAAACAGTATTATTGTATATGCAGGTATGACAGCTAGGGTTATTGTATCTAGTTAACTGTGAGGCTATGAAAATTGGAGAAGCTAGAAAAAAATGTTACTAAAATATCAGCGGTGTACCAGAACACCATGAACGAAAATCCTTTCACTGTTCCCGCAGTATCTTAAATGTTTTTGAAATCGGTCTTGGATTAGAACCAGAACTGTTATTATAGTTAGAAAAATACCTCAGAAAATGTGAAAAGTACCAAATTTGGTACAAATGAACATTGGGCTATACATTGGACTAATTTTTAAAAATCCAATATGTCATTAGTTCTGTTTGTCATTACCTTTCACGACTCTGGAAGTCAGATGAAAAAAATTATGCAGAGTTTTGATATCGCTACATGTCTTCTAAGGATGTTAAGATATCTTTTTAAACAATTCTTTGGCCTTTTTTGTTCATCACAAGGAAAACTTTAAACAAAAGTACTTTAAAAATCAAGTACATAATGTTACATAGTTCATTGGCATTAATTACATTGGCATATGGACAGGGCAAGCAAACGGAAATTAATTAACGCTATCTTATCTGCCCGTCTAGCCAGGTGCACGCGCCGTAAGTTTATCTTGTTGATCGTTGTAAACGGGTATAAGGAAATGAAAGGTGTGGATAACTAAATGTAATCTAACTGGCGGAAGTTTTTATTTAACAGTTTTTTTTTTAGTATTTGAATGGTCAAATTATAATAATATGAAATTTTATCAATGCAATGCTTTTTTTATATGTGCAAGAAAAACCAAAGAAAGACAGACATATATAACACACACATATATATATATAAATTTGGAGAAAATATTGTTTATTGTTTTTTTCCACGTTCTTGTATCCTTCTTTGGATCCAGTGTTTTTGAAAGGTATTTTGTAGATGCAAATATTTTTCACAAACCTATATATATATATGATCAGGGTCTTTTAAATAGATTTATGATGTACATTTTTTCAAGGTATGCGTTATACTCGTAGTTATTACATGTCAATCAAACTCATTCTAAACTATGCCGTTCTCTTCATGAAAACACATGTGCATTTGTTGCATAAGCATAAAATGGATTGATTTTTTTGGTAGAAATGTTTGGTTTATAGGCTCTTATTTCAACACACCTCAGATGAAATAACTACTTTTACTTTTTACACATTGGTTTTCGATTGATTAACTGCCAGTTTGCCACTAATCGTGTTGGTAGTTGCTTGTCATTATTTTGAAAAAAGAAACACCAACCTTTATTTACCTTCTTCTTAGTTTTGTTTTTATATACATTAAGAATGGTGGGTTCAATTTATAGAACATATTATATTAAAATGCAAACCATTTTTTCAGGGTTTTAAGATAGTACAAAGTCACGAATGTTGGCACAAATCACTGACAGGTCTGATGGAGGAAGTTAGAGATATGATGGGGAATCATCCTGTGTATATTTCCTTTGATATTGATGCTCTAGATCCTTCCTTTGCTCCTGGAACAGGTAAATATAACAAAATCAGGAAATGTGTCCATGAAAATTAGAATATATTGCCCGATACTTTAATAACTTCCCGCTTTAGCTTCCCTTATTTACTTAAAAAAGGGTATTTATTTCAATGTAAAACGACTTGTTTTTCAAGTGAAAGTTTATATGCCAAACATTTTTGCAAAATTATATTCCCATTTATCTACTTTGCTTTTACCATACTATTCAGCACTACCTTTGAACGTTTTGTGTCAGGTCTTGTTACACTTTCACCTTATCGATCTTTGTTAAATATTTGACTGTATATCAAATTTATAAGATAAAGTTAGAAGTTTTTGTTTTTATTGTTAAGGCACTCCAGAGATTGGCGGTCTTACATCAATTCAAGGACTGGAAATAATTAGAGGATGTAAGGGACTCAACATCATAGGAGGTGACCTTGTAGAGGTACAAACACTTTAAACACAAAAAGTTTTATAATAGCGTCAATAACTATTTTATGAAAAAATAATGATAGACCATGTTCCATGGTGTACCAATGAAACAACAGACATGCCACTTATGCTATAGCATAATGCAAATATGTTGAAGACAATATGTGTAGACCATGTGTATGAAATATTTGTAAATGTCAGTAAAATATGTTGATACCTTTAAAGTAAAGTTTAAAAAAATGATATTTGATTGAGGAACTAGTTGGTACAATTGCAATAAAACTTGGCATGAGTGTGCATTTGCATGGATAGGAGAATTAGGCTTACTAGATGTCATTGAAGTCTGTTTGAGTTGTATTGTCAAAGTGATTGGTAAAACTGTAAAATAAACTCTACACTATTGTATATAATAGTAAGGTCATGATAAATACTATCAAAATCAAATTGTGCATTTTTAAGTTATGACCAAGTTAATTGTAAGAAAACAATTTGTACTTTGCAAATACGAAATTGGATGGATAACAGACGTATTACAACCGAACCATATAAAATAATGCATGTCATGTGCAAAAGAACATGATATATAGCTACCTCTTTGCTATTGACATTACAGGTAACCTCTCTCATATACATTATTTTAAAGCAGAACAGACATCCTCTTAGTTAGTTCAATAATGTTTGTATACTATGCTTACACATAATGTTAGTCATATGATGTAAAATGTCTCTGTTTATAACATATATAATAATTTGTATTATTCATTTATTTTCTATTTATAGGTATCACCACCTTATGATTTCCAGGGTACAACAGCACTTACTGGAGCTAATCTTCTATTTGAAATGTTGTGTATTTTACCAAAAGTTAAGTACGATCTGAAGTAATGATTACACCATCTTTAATGCTTTAAATGTCATGTAAAGTTGTTGGACACACGTTAATGTCAATCTAGACACATTAGGTGAAGACAACCTATTTTATAATACATTGAGCAGAATAACATTAGATATATACAAGGGAGACACAGGCAAAATTTACATTTCTTCGTTTTGAATTTTCATTCATAATTCTGTGATTGTCCTCAAAAATTAATACACTAGGCAGTCACAGGAACAAAACTTTTCTCCTTATAAAAATAAAATGGTGGTTTCCTAACTTGACCCACGTGGGTCAGATTAGAGCGTTAAGATTTCACAGTTAATTCTGGACGTTTAAGAGCATGTCAAATGAATGGAATAGGTTTGTTTCATCATACACTACCCACAATATCTGTTATTCTTACTTCCAGGGTTTGTTCATGTCACTTGACTATTTTTAAAAATACTCGGTGATGATTCTGTCGGCGTCTAAATTTCGTTCAACATATATAGATATATTTACGCTTCAAACCCAAAATATATAGAATTTAAACAGAAATTTATGATGACACTTTAACAAATGTCATTTTAGGGTGATTTGAGTACATAAGATAATTTTGATATTTTTGTCATTAATTTGCCTGAGTATCCTACTTTATACATCTTGTAAAACAAGTAAAGCTTACAATAAAGTGATTAACGCTAAGGTTAAGCGCAGAAATCACCTCTCATATTTTGTTGCTTTGTTTTAATCGATGATATTTCAAGATCTTAAATAAATATTGTCACAAGTAGAATTATTTCATATTCACTCAATGTCATCTTTTATGTATGTGAATTTGTGCAAAGCATAGTGCGCTCTAGAAATTAGTCAAAGTTTTAACATGGAAACAATTTTGACTTGGTCAGAATACAATTTCAAGCATCCACTTTATTCACGTTTGAAATTATTTTTATCATGTGTTGTATGATCTTATACAGGTTTAGAAAAGTGTACTTGATGTACTTTATAACAATTTAGGACAAGTAGCAAAAGCAAAAGTCTATTTTAACAAAAAGAAAAAAAAATCATAGGTTTTTAAAACCTTCATAACATACATAACGTTTTTGAATTTTATAGATTTGTCCTATATAGCATAGCATTAAAACAGTCATTTTAAGTTTAGCAATCATTATTAGTGAGAACATGTATTCATGCGAACAAGGTTCTGTTTTCTCTCTTGTTTTATTTAGAAATATTGTAACAGATTTATATAAATTTACATGGTTTTAAACAAGGTAAGTATTGAGTGCAATGAACATTAATTTATTATAGATGTTAACAAATTTATATTTAGATATATTTGTGTTTCATTCAAATAAATAATTTGATTGTTGTATTAACGGTATTTAATAGTCTATATCGTTTAAACAATTACATTTTGGAGAGATATTTTTTATTATTTTATCATTTTATGTGATTGTTTTAATCTTTAAATGATATATTTTGTTGAATTAAAATCATGTGAATAAATCCAATAAATATATTATGGATTATAAAGGATAAATACAAACAGTTGATGTATATTTTAGTATTTAACACAGAATAAATTTGAAATGCTATGAAGTACAAATCATATTATTAATCATCTAATAAAAAGTCTGATATTTTTTCATTGCTATTGTGTGCTACTTTCCTCTATATGCAATACTTTACATATTGACTCCACTACGTACAGGCGAATTTAGATGTCCTTTTATTAGATAGCTTTGTCATACAAATTTACTGCTTCCTCCTATTTTCTACATAACTTCACATGTTGTTAAACAACTGCAATAAAAGAAGATATTTTAGTTCTTTGTTTATATCTTTGCCTTTTTATACAAAATTCTAAAATATATGATAAACAATTAAAACTTACATGTTTAAATAACAGTGCAAGTACCAATATGTTTGAATAACAGTGTAAATACACTTCTTCTGTTGTTGTTTTTTTTTTCAGTAAGTGTAAAAACCTTGTTGTACTGAAACATAAATGGCTGGAAATATTTCATTTTTATTTCTATGTCAAAGCTTTCTAGTAGCAGACAATTCATAGTCAAATTAACAACATTATGTTGGAGAATAATCAGCGTTTTTTCCTTTCAACTACGACACCTGTAACAATCAGTAAATGAAATTACCAAACTTAACTCTGCTCCAACGTACAACTGTTATACCCAGCAATGCCACGGATGATATATCTAGAGAAGAGGGTTACAGACATGTTCAAAATAGGATTGTGCGGAAAGAACTAATATGTAAACGTGAGTGGTACAAAAAACATACGCCGAATTGAAATCATACTGTACAAATATGTCTTCTAGTCGAGGCGTTGTGGAGAATGACTAGATGTATCCAGAATGTTGGCAGCTTGTTACAGGTTGATATTGTCCTCAGAAAGAAGAGGAATTGGTAGACATTGACTCACTAATGTGATTGTTGAACTTTTAAGGTGTAACTCAATGGAGCGGATCGAACAAAGGTATGAAAAGGGTTTTATGATGCAAGAACTCTTACAATCCATGGATGGCACTGTACAGAATGACCAAAACAAGGAGTTAAACGTAGAGTAATGACCTGAGAATAAAAAAGCCGTATTATAGTAAAAAATTATTTGCCATTGATAGTTTGCTCCTTTTCTTGTCATATCAGAGACCAGTTCTAATTCATTTTGAAAAAAAAAGAACACCGCGTTATGCAAATTAGCTGGAATAACACACGGTATTATAATCTGGAAAAAATGAAACATTGTGCAGATTTTATTATAACATACAGCTAGCAAATACATGTAAATGTCAATCACAAACGTTTGCTTTAATAATATTATATTGCAAAACACCTATAACGCCAGATGGCAAATGCATGGAACTGAGCTTTGTTGCTTATTCTTGTTCTGAGTTACTGACTGAATACTATGGTATAACTTAAATCATCTGAAAAAAATATAAATGTTTATTCACAAGCTCATTAAAGATTGGATTTCTGTTTCACAAAATCATAAAAATGTTATGTCTATGAAATTCTAAAAACCATAATCAAACAATAAAATATTGGATGTATTGTATTGTGATACCCTATACAAAGCAAGTGATATTTTATTTGTTTATTTCTAAATGATTTTCTGACTAACCTGTATATAATTTGCCATTCAGAAAAGTACAGAGGACGAAAATACTTTTAAAAGGAATGTTGTTAGACATTTTTATTTATTGAAGCCTAACAAATACCTGCGTCAGAAGTAATGATATCAACACAAGAAACCTTACACTGTTCAAAGAATCTTTGTAGGAAAATGGATATTTACAATATATACAGATGAATATAACAAGCATAATCAAACTTGTGAAATACAATCACATTAAATAAAGTCTTCAAACTGGTGTTTTATCTGAATTGAGCAGTGCGTTAAAAATGCATGAATACTAATGAAAAGCTACAAGCCTGTGTTGCGCAATAATGTGACCCATGGAATAATGACTCCACTGGTCCCACTTTTCTTTAGAAAAAATGACCCCCTAGTGTCATCGCCTGAAGAAAAAAGACTGGGGTCCATACTCCAAGTACCTGAAAGGGCGCATGGAGCCTTATTAAGCATAGAATACACAAGAAAACAAGACAACTTCAGCGGGAACCTGTATGTTTCCCCCACCTCCAATCTAATCGATCTCTTAATATTAACTACCAAAAGTTGTTGATTTTTTTACTTTATTTGTGACCTCGACGTTTCCATTGACCTAAGTCATAATCTGAGAAGTAAAGTCATGAAATTCTAAGTTTTTTTTCGAGTCTATGTGTAGACTTGTTGACTCCACGGTCATCAGAAAATGTTTGTTTTTTTCAAACACAATTCTGCAAATGTTCAATATTGTAAAAAATTGCCCTTTTCATACATAACTGAAAGTTAAAACTATTAAAGTGTATTTGTCTACAAAGGGCACGTTTTCCATTAGATTCTCAAATACGATGAAAACAATAGAAATGTATCATTTATTTATACTTACAAAATATACCTTGAAAAATAAATGTTGAAAAATTTCTATGTGATTTAATTTGAATAATTATTTGATGGAGACTTACTTCGTGTTAAGAAGTCATAAAACTTTGACCGGGGGACTTATTATGACCGGGCGTTTTTAGATTAAAGGCACATTTTGCCTCAGAAATCATACTTTAGAGAGGAAAAACTTAAGTTTTATAATGTTTATATAATAGATTTAGAGCATGTCAGATTTCACCTGAAGAAAGTAGCGCTGAATGTGAAATAATTTTTTTGAAAGTAGCAAAATGTAAACAAAGTATTATTCTGACTTCCATACAAAATACTTAATCATTATTAATCTCTAAATTTCTAAAAGGGAACAGAAGCAAGAGATGGTTCTGGTAATTGGCAAATGAATTACTTTTTTTAAATTATAACAGGGCACCGTTTGGGAAATGACAATGAAAGCATTTCTGAGGCAAAATGGGCCTTTAATAGGAGAATAATGATTCTATGCGATCGTTTACTTTGTAATTATACGTTTTAAAGAGAAAGTAAACTGATTAAGGGTACAACTCAATAGATGCCTAATCTAAGAAATGATCATTGGAGAAGTATGTAAAATAAAACAATTCCGTATTTCGTTTTTACTACAATCACCCACACTATCATAGACTAATTGGCTAACACTGTTTTTAGGCCACTAAAGTTATGAGTATATGTAGCTTGACATCAAACAAATTGCAACACAAGCTTTCTTTAGTATTTTGCAATCAATATATATGCATGGACCTTGTAGTAAAACCCTAAAAAAATATACCTTCGGAAACTTGACTTATGGCAGGTAGTTTAAGAGTTCCTGTCCAGGGATAAAAATCGTAATATAACACTGTTATATGTTTAATATGTGGCGACTGTCTTGTTTTTCTCTGTTATAGATTGGTAGTTTTTTAGCCAGCATGTATTTGGTGTTCATAAAAATAGAATTTGCAATGAATGATAAAATGTTTGGCCTTTTTTTATTTAT